CACCACCAAATTTCTGTTACAATAGCGATTTAAAATAAAAATTGATGCCTCGAAAAAAGTGCCAGTGCAGAATATTCTCCCGTGCCCCCAGAAAACAAAAAGTTTTGCCCGAAATAGATAACACACATGCATCTACTATTGTAATCTTGTTTGCCGAGATGTTATTGTCTAACTGTGCCTTTGAGTGAGTGAACAACCGCACAACACACTCGACATATCAGTCAGTTCAAATTGTGATTTATTGTGTTGACAAATTTCTGTCAGGGCTCTATTATGGAATGCGGTGACCGCGTTTTTATGTGTATGTGTATAAAATGACTTCGAAGAAGAACAGATTAAACCCAAGAGTTTGAAACATATCAAATGTTATTGCATCCCTGCTCCGTTTCCACATGGTTCATATGCGGGACAGAGAAGGAGAAGAAACGAACGTGAAGGAAAAATCCTAGGTCAAATTTACACGCCTTCAACTACTGAGTCAAGTGTGTGCTTTGTATTTTGTGGCGTGTAGCTGTTTTTTTTTCCCCGCGTGGATAATCCACCTGCGGGTTTGTCAGATCTGTTTTACAGACAGCCATATTTTCAGTGCAACAACGTGGCTGAACTGTTTTTCCAACGGTAGGTCTTGTTTAGTTGTGAATGCGTTGTATTAGTGTTTTATCTGTTAAGGTTAACTCAGACTGGCATCTTCTGGAGTGTTAATGTAGCTACGAGTACCGTTTTCTTTTGTAGTAATGGACAGACACAAAGGAAACTATATAGGCTCTTACAGGTCTCCCACGGGTGTCCATTAATTGCCAGCAGATTCCCGACCTCCCAGAGCTACATTGCCCCCCCCCCCCCCTTACTTTTTACCAGATGGGGACTGAGCTGGGATTTTCCCTTCTTCAAAGTTTGGACCGTAACTCTCCATTACTTGCGTTATTGTGAACTATTTCCAGATGTAAGACTTCAAGATATATTTATTTCAAAAGTTGCCAAACATAAGACTTCAAGGCGCTTCTTTGAATCGTTCCCCAAAATGGCGGCTGTAATATGATGGCGTTCAAAAAGGAGCTAAATTGGCCAATTTCTGGCCATAAAATATCCAAAAATATCCGAATGCGGGGTCAGTTCTATTAAAAATATATTTGCCGGCTCCGAATAACGAAACAAATGCTCTGACAGGGTCTGGGCGATACGTTGCTTGCCGACCTGCTTTTGCGAGTGTGCCTCACCGCCGAGAGTATCCCCCGCGCCGCTACGCGCGGCGCGGATGGGGGCTAAACTAGATGGCTGGGACTCACGAGTGGCAGCTACCGCATCTCCTGCAACTTCCTCCAATTACTGTACTCGTGAGTTCCAAGCACCTAGATACGCTCGGCGATGAGTTTAATCGCGTTTGGCGCATGCCGACAAGTCTGACATCTACCGCTCCAATCGGAAGAATACAGTATTGCTAATCGGCTTTCATCGTCTGTAATGTCTCGAAATTGGTCAACGGTCGCTAATATCGTCTGCTAGTATCGTCGACTGCAGAAACGCTCGAAATTTTTGTCAACGGTCGGTAATTATCGTCTGCTGCTAGTACCGTGTGCAAATGTTGATATTGGTTGTCAAGTAATCCTAGTTTTGCCGCGATTTGTTCGTTGGCAGAAAGTCCGTATTTTAGATATACGCGAACACCGTCGTTCGAATATTTTTGGATATTTTATGGCCAGAATGTGGCGTGCCGCCATTTTGGGGAATAAATCAAAGAAGCGCCGACTTCAAGGTTTGTTTGTGTTTGATTCAACTCCGCTCCAATGAGGGATGCAATTTCTTGTCGGGGGGCCTAATATAACCTAAAGGTTGACTGGGTTTCCGGCACTTGTGCCCAGGTGATTTTCATCCGATTGTTGGCACCTTGTGTCACCAGGTGTTTTATCACTTGGTGTGCACTGCTGGTGGTTTTGAACGTCACTCACTCCGCCTCTGATAACACGCATGCATCGCAACACTGCTTTAGTTGCCAGTAAGCATAATAATAATTTCCTGTTACTATTCAGCTATCATTGTACTGCTTTAGCAGGTCTGCTTGTGCTTGTACTAAATCAGTGGCGCCATTTTCGTCTATCTCTATTCTACAAATCCGGCTGCACCGTCGCACATGTGGAGAACAGTTTTTGAACAAGCTGTGTCAACAGATGTTCTGTCTGCGTGTAAAAAAAAATCAATACCACAATGACACGTGGGAGTTTCCTTGCATCGTTGCTGCTCGTGTTGTGTCGGCTAGACTCTGTCATGGGCGTGTACCGATGGCAGCAACACGTCGTCTTGTCACAGTCTTGTGTTTGTGCCACAATGGAGACTATTTTCAACTAGCTTACGGTCTTAAATGAACAATTATAAATCTCTGTAAAAAAATCGTGGCTTAAATATATGTAACATTGTTTGTTACAGATTGCATTATACTGTTAATCTTTTAATCCCTGTCAGCTCACACGCCTTTGAAAAAAAAAATGGAATTCAACAAAGGCAGATAAGTCTGAAAATAAAACATAAAAAAAAAAAAAAATTATAATGTCCCATATCTCCTTCAGGGAAAAACCGCGCAATTTTAAAGGAAAAATATAGGAACTTGTATACATGTTGCAACACCTTTTTTTCTGTCTTTATGTGTAAATAACTTATGAAATATAATTTTTAAGTTCATTATTAATAAGTATACTTTCAGTCTGATAAAAAAAAAAACGTTAAGCAAAGACTGGGTTTCCGGCACTTGTGCCCAGGTGATTTTCATCCGATTGTTGGCACCTTGTGTCACCAGGTGTTTATCACTTGGTGTGCGCTGCTGGTGGTTTTGAACGTCACCTTTAGAAAATATCATTAATCATGTACAACATTAAATTTTGTGTTTGTTTCAAAGCTGTTGCCAGGGGGCCCTTAAATAACCTAATGGTTCAGCTGGGTTTCTGGGACTTCTCCTCGTGTGATCCTCATCCACATGGTGGCACTTTGTATCACCGGGTGTTTGGTGGATGTCCTGGTGGGCTTAAATCTCACTCAGTCATCATTCATGTATATTAAACCATACTTAATTATATATTTTATGTACAAATATTTGAGAACATTAGTTATACAATAACTGTTCTACTATAAACCTCATACATTTTATTCAAGAGGGAGCAATGGAAACACTTTTTTACTCTATAACGTTGTAGGACTCTGTTTGTTTAGCTGATGCAATCATAAGAAACACACTTGTAATTCATAGTTTAACAGATGAAAAAGGATGAGCACTGTTATAACTGAATTTCTTTTGGTGGTGTTTCAGACAGTTACTCTTCAGGTTTTGCAATTGTGATAGGTATAGCCACATACAGGGCTGTTAACATTGTGCAAATATTTTTATTTTGTTGCTTATTTATAAGACTGTTGTATTTAACGTTTTAATAATTGTAATTTTTTTTTCAATTTAAATAATTTAAGTAGTTTGAAAATGGGTAAAAATCCTGCCCTAGCTCAGATGTCAGAGCTGAAAGGTTAGCAGCATTGTATTCAGAATGAACCATCCTTCAAGGGAAATCATAAATAAATATACACGCTCACCCTGGGAGAGATAGCTGGTAGTGTTTCAGTGTTTATTATGGAAGTGTGGGAAGATGTTCAGTAATTCATACCAGTTGTGTTAAATGTTCATTATGGTATACAATTCTGGAAATTTATCAGGTTCCCATTTCTGGAAAAGGGTTTGAACCTTGAGCTGCACTGATTAGACAAATCTGGCCACTTCAGGGGATTAAACTCAGACCACTGTATGGACAGGCACCATAACTCTTTGTTAGTGAAAATAAAAATACATCATTTTCAGTTTGCAGAAGTAAAACATGTTAACATTTCTTTGTCATAACATTGACTGGACTTGACACCCACATATTACTGTATGTCAGGACTATTCATTTGGCTGCCCGCAGAAGCCTAGCAAGTGGCCCGTGAATCATTGCCAGGTGTACTGTAGTAATATAGATCTGGCCTGTGCCAGTGCTCATTTTCAACATTTTGGCTCCTGATTAAAGGATATTGTAACCAAATTTCATTTATTGGTGTTTCAGAAAGTTACTCTTTAGGTTTTGCAGTTGTGACAGGTATAGCCATGTGTAGGGCTGTTAACATCCTACATGCTTTCATAACCACAGCATTTTCAGTGTCTTGTATCCACATTTTGTGAAGGTCTGCCTTGTTTTCTGGAAACTATACCCTTCATCATAGTTCTCTGAAGACCGTCATGATATTTAATGTGACCAAAATACCTCAGCTTTCGGGTCAAGATGATGTGCCAATTCTCCTCATTGCTCAGATCATGTAGGATGTAGGTGTATTTCTTCTTCTTGCTCCATGGTATTATATGAATTTTCTGCATCATTTCAGTTTGAAAGTTCCAATTTTGGTTTTTTCACTGACTGAGTAAGAGTCCAAGACTCGCATCCATAAGTTTCCACAATAAAGATGCATGATCTTAACATTTTAATTCAACGTTTGCCAGTGCTGTGCTATAGGTTCTTAATTCTTTTAGTCTCTCACTTAAATTATACAGTTTAAATTTATTGAATCTGTGTCAGTTATTTCAGTGTAGCAGAAGAATTTTGTCCACATTGATAAACTCTTCCAGAAACAGGCACATGTTACTAAAAGTAATTTTCTTCAAAGAAGTTGCTTTAAGTAACAAATGGTTTCAGTCTGAAGAGCTAAAATAATATTAGCATTAAAGGAACAAGAGGAGTTAAAGTAAAAAGTTGGACCAGGTGGTTAAGTATAACAACTAGATGAATCACAGAGTTAAGAAAAGTACATCATGGGAGTTCAAATCAACAAACTTCTATGGATTTGTTTATTACTGAATTACATTTTGTTGATTACTTAAATGTAGCAGAATAATCTTCTTACATTATTGATTCACTCTATTTTCTGTTTTATTTCCCATTTTAAAAATTAATTTCAGGTAGTTTCTGCTTTGCTTTCCGCATCAGCAAGCAGTTACCATGACGATTCTACGTCTACTAAATGTGTCCTCAACACTAAAAACTAGAGCAGTGGGGTCAGTTTTGGCCACCCAAAGCAACAAATATGAATATATAAGCCAGCGGTCAGCCACGTCTGATTCCAAAAAGGTATGATAGTCTCTGACAGGTATGTTAGCATTTGAGTTAGCAGTAAAGGTATGATAGTCTCTAGCAGGTAGGTTAGCACTTAAGTTAGCAATAATTTATACTTGCATAAGTTATAAAACATTCCTGCTCAAAACTTGCCAGTGGTGATTTTTGTTGTTGTTGCTACTTGCCCTGGTGTTACATTGGTGTTTGTTTTCTGTTATTTCGTCTATGACATACTGATTTGCTGTGCAAAAGCATGTAGAGGTGCGTCCGCTCATGTCATTGAGTTCTAGAACCAGAACTCAAACTGTTCAAGATTTGTCTACATCTGTCCTTGGTTATCCTAGAAACATGCCTCCTACCAGAGGCCAGTCAAAAGTAGGTAGGATCAGTGATTCCTTCAATGATGGAGCATATCTAACCAAGAGGCAGTGACCTGAGAGTCTGCATACAAATAAGCCAGATCTGTAAAATACTCAAGTCCTGGAACAAAACTAAAGTCTACTCATGGATGAAAAGCCAGGAGTGTTTGCTGGAATTTACAGCCAGAAAATGAAGAAGAAAGAGAAGAAGAACTGCAAAAACTGATAATGAAAATTTGTATTTTTTTTCTTTCAAACTTTGTTTTACCCTCATGTCTTTATTACCAATGTTAACCATACCATATTGAACTGCCTTTAAAAAAAACCCAACTGCTTTAAGTACTTTAAAGTTGCAAGTAAAATTCCTCCTCAGTTGTTAGAATCTTATAATCTGTTTTTGTATGCAACATTGAATCATTATGGTGGGGGACTTGCAAATTCTTACTTCTGTCATTTTAAAGTGTTTTTTAATATGTGCCTGTTATGGCATTTGGTGTGTGGTAGCTATATCAATATTATGTGGGAATTGCTGCATTTAAGATGCCCCAGTTAAGATCATCGAATAAAAAGCTCTGTGTAACGTGTTGATAGTTTTACTTACTCTGATTTGTTAGGGGGGAAAGGGTGAATAAGTTGCATCCCTCCCTGCTTATCCAAATGAGAAAACTGGGGGGAACTACTCATGTTTGTGTCCGCACTGCGAGAGTTACTTCCCGCCCCTTTCCAGAACAATTACAGCCTGGTGTATTGTGTTCGTCACCAGTCCCACACATGACACAGAAGACTTTTGTCTCAAAGGCACCACATTCTATTCCAGTCAGACAGTGTTCTTGGCATCAGCCGAGTTTTCTCTCAGGTAACATGGATTATCTTCTTGACTCTTCACTGACTGGAGATGGCTGATTAACATGCCCTCTAAACTACTGCATTAGGCTCAGAGGCCATCTAGAAATTTGAACTGTTTCTCTTACACTGGAAAGCACGTCTGGCCTGGTCTGTGGCTGGCATGTTTGTCAGCTGGACCAAATGGAGTGAGTTGTTTCCCCTGTCAGATTACTTCCTCTTTTCCTCAGCCTTTGTTTTAGGGGGTTCCCTGAGCTATTTTTAGCAAATCGGTGGGTGTGTCTGTTGTTTTAAAAACAGGAATTCGTTTTTTTTTTTTTCAAAACTGGGATTAGTTGTTGGTTTGATGCCAGGTACAAAACAAACAAATTTAGTGGCGATTTCCCTTATGATGAATGTGCTTGTGCACACTATGTCCCAAGTGACCATAAAATTTACCTTACTTTACTCTTTTTTTTTAACCGGGAAATATTGTTTAGGTTGAAGGAGGTTATGCTTGGCAGTAAGTCTTGTTTGGTAATTTTGTCTTCTCCAGTCACCTTGTGATACTCAACCTTGCTTATTTCAACCAAAACCTACATATTATTCACTTTCAACCAGTCAAAACCTACATTATTTAAGTTTCAACCAGTAAAAGCCACAGTTAATTTTAACCAATCAGAGCTTTTCATCTTAACTTCAGCCAGATAAAGCGTGTTTGGTTTTTAATTTCAGTCAATCAAAGTCTGCATGTTATTCACTTTCAGCCAATCAAAGCACACCTTATTCTAAAGAATGGAAAGAAAATGACAGGAATATCATTTGGTAAACCTGTTTCTTGTGCTGGGGAAATTGTATTCAACACTGGGCTTGTTGGGTATGTATTATGTAGTCTTTTATTACAATTCTGATATAGACAATTATTATTATTCACAAGCCAATACAGTGGAACCTCTTTATAGGAGTGTACCTGGATAGAAGTTTTTTTTACGATACAAGGTCATCCTCGCCAATTATTATTTGCTGCAGAGTATGAGAAGTCCAGGAATTGAGCTGGCGAGACAAGGGCTCTTGGCCTCAGCAACATTTCAATAACTTTTAAATGGATTAGATCACATTATCATTGCAGAAGGAGGACTTGAGCCAATCGACACTGCGCTTAATGATAATGGACTGTATTATCATCGTCAAAAGTAACCTACCATGTTTTCTGCTGCTGCTGGTAGAAACAAAAAAGCAGTGCCTCATATTTTCCTCATTAACGAAATGAAAAACAGCAATTCTGAAACTAGTGGGGTGATTTTTGGAGGTCTGGAATAAATTAAAATTGTTTGCAATAATTTTATTACGAAAAATAGTTTCAGAATAACAGTTATTCATCATACAAGCTATTCTAGAAACAGATACAAATTCATATCATGAGACTCCACTGTGCCTTTGTCCACTCTACTACCCAGATTAAATCTCTTGTGAGAAGTTATATTTAATAGTTCTAGCAGTTCTGGTCATGATAATATTGATTTACTTTGCAGTTCAGAAATGAGTAAACCATTAAATAAACCCTATGCAGATTTCCTTAATGTTTTTTTTTTCATTTAAAAATTTTTATACTTTCTTCTTTTTCTTCTTCTTTCTCTGCAGTTGTCTTAAGAAGTGCAGTTTGCACATTGTGTTGTGGTTTACAGCTAGGCTGTGATATCTGCAGTTTCAAAACAAAGCCCCAATTAATCAGCTTTAACAAGATGCTCGAGGCAGAGGGTCTGCCCCCTCCCCCCCTCCCCTAAATTTTCTTCTGGGACCCACACAGAAAAATGTGCAGTTCATAATAAAAACCCTTCATAAACTTTGTGCAGATTTTTGTGGGTAATGTCTTTGTTGTTGTTGTTTTTTTTTTTTAATCATTTTAAAATGTAATGCTTCTAGCTAATCTATACTGCTTATTTGAAAAAGTACCAGATATTAAATTTGTTGTTTCCAGTTACCCAGAAGCACTGACAGATCCAAGCTACAAAGGTCAGATGTTAGCTTTGACGTATCCGATCATTGGGAATTATGGGGTACCTTGCACCAAAGAAAAAGATGAATATGGGCTGCTAAAAAATGTGGAGTCAGAAAAAATTCAGGTACAATTTGAGAAATAAATGTTCTGCATGCACAAAATAAAACAGCACCCTGAAAATCTAAACTATTAACAAAGCTAATTAAATGTGTAAATATGTTGGTTGTAATCTGAGATTTTTTTCTTAACTTATTCAAACCAAGAAACTCATCATGGTCCCATCTTGCCTGATAAGCTTTTCTTAATCCTGCTGTCTTTTTTAGTTGTTAACAAAATGCCTGCCATTTCCAGTAAATTAAAAAAAAAATTTGTTTAAACTCATTCTACTTAATTTTGTTATTATGTGAAAACTTTTATAAAAAACTATTATTAGTTTAAGTAAAAATTGTTTCGTTCATAATGAATTCAAGTTTAACAGTTTGGTACCAAAATAGTAAACTGCCTCTAGGCATCCAAATTGTCAGTTGTGTTACTGTATGTATGTATTATGAGATCAATCTGTTTGGTTGTCCATCAGAGCCTGGTTCATGTGGTGACAGTTAATCAAAATTTGGCTGTAGTTTAATAAAAATAAAAATATGAAACATTCACCTGTAATCACTTAACTCTTGATACAGCTGCATTCTTCAAAAATACTTTATGGTTTTCTCAAATTTGTATAATTACTGTGGAATATAAGTCTGGGATGCAGAGTTGCTGAAGCACACGTGATGATGCACCTTAACTAGAGCTCATACTGGTCAAGAACTATCTACACCCCAACCTGGTCATCCTAGAAACAGGTTTCCAATTGAGAGCCTTGCCAATGTAGATAGGATCAATGTTTCATCAGAGTTGGAGTGCATCTGCTTGAGGAGCAAGCAACCAACAGTCTGCTTACAAATAAGCCAGATCTGTAAAATCTTCTTCTTCTTCGCGTTCACCAGCTGTACACTCTGGCGGAAAGTTCTGGTTGCTCGTCCACTACTGAACTGCAGTCCTGCTCCAGAACCTGAGTGTTGCATGTGCATCAGTTTTACAAATCTCATTCTCTTGAATACAGACTGTTGGTTCCTTGCCTCTCCGGCAGATGCACTCCGACTTCAAAGGAAGGTCCCCAATTAGTCGACTCTTACGACATGCTTTTGGGGAGGCAGTGAGTCTATTCTTGTTTTCCCCACAATAGGGCCCCGGAACCCACATGGGGGGAATCTGTAAAATAAATGTACACACTACATCCAAGATCCATGGGTGGATGACAGGCCAGGTTTCCCCTGGAGTTTACAATGAGTTATACAAAGAAGAAGTTGAAGATAAGACTGCAACTGTTGCTTTCATTGTTCATTTACAGATCATCTTCATCGCACATCAGATATGTCCATAAGTCTTACGATCTCCTCGTGAGTGTCTCTAAATGTTTTGAAGCTAACAGCCCCCATTCTGTTTTGGTTGATGTAAGAATGGGCAGCATCTGTATGGATTTCTTGTCTCGTGGCTCCAGTTGGTACACCCAGGATATGCAGTCTATTCAGTGAAGAATCATTTCCAGGAAATTAAAAACCTAACTGCATTTACTCTCTCTTGTGGCATTGATAGTGTCTTCCCTGTCCACAGATGATCCATTCTTTGTGATTTTTTTGTTTACTGTTTCCGGGGGGTTACTAAACATAATTCATTTTACATTACTGTAATCTGCTGTTAATCTATAACATATCCATTACACATGTTAATCCATCTCTTCCTATGTCTTCCTTTTGTCCAGCTTGCCTTATGTAGTTGTAAAATGTTTGTGAAGCAAGTTTATTTGGAGTATCTCTTGTTAGAGGGAGTCACCGTGGCGGAGCAGCTAGACGCTCGCTGCGGATGGGAAGAACTTAGGTTCGCTCCCTGGGGGAGCCAGACTTTTTCCTCAAAAATTACCTTGGCTCCCAGGTCGACCCAGCCTTTAGTGTGTACCGGATGCAGTCCCGGGAAGTAAAAGTGGCCGGCATAATGCTGACGACATGACACATCCTGTGCCGATTGGTCTATAAAATATGGGTCTAGCCCTATACGCCCTAAAGGTGTGGAAAAGGGTTCTTTATTTTACTATCTCTTGTTAGAAGCTCTTTGGCTTCTAGTCTGGGATAATTTATGTATATGAATAAATAATATATATTTTTTATTCTTCATTTGTTTGGTGTTTAATGTAGGTATCAGGATTATTGGTTCAAGATTATTGTCACAAGCCAAGCCATTGGAATTCTGTGAAAACCCTGTCAGAGTGGCTAAATGAGGATGGGGTTCCAGCCCTCTATGGTATTGACACCAGAATGATCACAAAAATTGTCCGAGATGAAGGCAACGTGCTTGGGAAAATCGAGTTTGATGATTCTCCAATTGATTTCCAAGATCCTAATCTGAGAAACCTTATTAAAGAAGTCTCCAGAACTGTAAGTTTATATTTTCTCTATAAATATCAAACTCCTAATTTATTTTATCAGGCACAAAGTTTGGCCTTCAAGTGCCTCTGGGCCTACATCCTCAGACATGTCCAGTCCACCTCCATCTTTGTTTTTTGATTTCTAAATTTACATCTTCTAAGTCTGTCATTTGTTGTAATCTAGAACTGCTGATTTTATCTTCCCTTGTGAACCCCAACAGGCTTCTGAAAAGTCTTCCCTCAAAACCTCTGAGCATGCTCTCTATCTTTCTGTCTGTTTTCCAAGTTTCTGATCCATAAAGGAGAACTGTCCTAATGCATGATTTTATATCCTGAGTTTAGTTTTAGTGCTGTAGATGTTTGATCTCCAGACACTCTGAAGTCTTTTATAGGCAGCATTTGCCATTGCAATTTTCTGCTTGATTTCAACCACTTCATTTCCATCCAAGGAGATATTTCTTCCTAGGTAAGTGAAGTGACTTACTGTTTCCAAAACTACGTTATCTATTACTATAGATCTTTCACTTTGGGGGTTTATTTCCAGCAGTTTTATTTTACTGACATTGATTCTTAACCCTGTCTGTTTTGCTGCTTCTGTGATCTTATCTGTCTTTTGTTGTAGATATTCTTTACTTTGGGTGATGACACAGTTATCATCTGCAAAGTCCAAATGTTCCAGCAGTCGTTGAAGGCTCCACTAAAGGCCTGTCTGTGTGCCTGTGGTTGCTTTCTTTGTAACATAATCTATCACTATGAGAAACATGAAAGGTGACAGAATACAGCCTTGTCAGACTCCTAATTTTATCCTGAAGTATTCTGTCTCAATGAGTCCTACTTTCACTTTGCAATTGTATCCTTCATAGAATCCTTTAAATATGTTATTAACTTTATATGGTAATCCGCAGCAAGGATCCTCCACATCATTGGACTCTATCTGGTCTGTGGAAGGCCTTTTCAAAGTCTGTAAAGTTTATATATAATGTGGCATTCCATTCTAAAGCTTGTTCCACAATATTTCTGTGAGTGAAAATATGATCACATCAGTTTCTTCCTTTCCTGAATCCTGCCCGATCTTCAGAGAGAACTCTGTCTGTTGATGTTTTCATTCTGTTGTATATCACCCTACAGAGTGCCTTTCCAGGTACAGACAATAACGTTATGCCTCTCAAGTTGTTGCAGTGTCAGAGATCACCTTTCTTCAGTAGTGGGATGATTACACCATTTCTCCAGTCTGTTGGGACCACTTCATTTATCCATATTCTGCTGTAAATTGTGGGTCTGTCTTTAAAATGTCATCACTAATTTGGTCTTCACCAGCTGCCTCCCCATTCTTGTGAATGAAATGATGTAAGAATGGAGGGAGACCTCGAAGGGCAGAATTTTAGACAGGCCTGCGTGCCCAATTCTTAACCCTTTAAAAATAAAGTTTGTTTGTTCGTTCGTTCGTTCTTCCTACTGCTTATTGCCATTTCTATTTCTTTAATGCTGATTGGCCCAATATCCGTTTCTAGGAGTTGGCCAGTTTTCTACTGTTTCCACTGGGATATCTGATGCTGGCCTATTTAGCAACTCGTTAAAATGGTCTTGCAATCTTTCAACCTTTCTTTCCTCTTTCTGTTGTGATTATTTTTCCTGTTATGTCTCTCAAGTTTTCTCCATAAAAGATAAAATGTTTCCAAGATCCTTTGTATTTTATACAATGTTCTAGTATCACCTGTCATTGCTGCTTCTTTCGCTTTGTCAGCTCTGAGTTTCAAGTGTTCCTTTTTGTCTTTCTTCAAGCTTTTCTTTACTTCTTCATGTTTGGTGTTATATGCTTTCTGTGCGGCCATCTTTTTCTATGTATTCTTTGCAAGGTTTATTTGCTCTGTTTGCATTTTTCTTCCTTCTATCTTTGATTAAGATTCTTTGAGATACCCATCCCTCTCTTGCATGTTTCTTCATACCGAGTATTTTCTGGGCTTCATTGCAATACACATCTTTAGACTGTGCCCATTCTTCTGTAATATTTGTTGTCTCTGGTAGGTGGTTAAACACCTCGAACTAGTTTCTTAGTTTGATGCAAAAATTGTCTCGGACTTTTAGTGTCCTATTAAAAATATAATGGCAGACCAAAAAACACACGGAGAAGGGACTGGGAAAGGAAATGAAAAAGATTAGGACAGCGAACTGAACACAACAGCAGACGATAGGACAGTCTGGCATAAGTTGGCCGAGGACCTATTCTTCATTGGGGAATAAAAGGGTTGACAGAAAAAGGCCCCATTATCAGTCCTCTTTATTCTTTGTTTCTTTCTTCAATTTCTGTGAGTACCAATCAGTAATTGTGAAAATATTTGTCAAGTCCTCCTTCATCTTCTTAGCGTTGACTGACAGCATTAACTCAGGTGAAATTATCTGGTTGTTCTTCTACTCCTCAACTTTGATCTTGTTTCATAACTTGAGTTGTATGCACATCCATTTTACAGATATGGCTTATTTGTAAGCAGACCATTGGTTTCTCATCTCTCCGATAGATGCACTCAGACTTTAAAGGAGTACTTCTTAAGGTCTTAAATAGTAAAATTATGTAAATTATATGCACAAATGTAAATTTATATCTTTCATAGCCAATGCTGAGTAGAATTGGTTGACAAATAGCATCAAGTTCTGAAAGCGATGATATTTTGGCCATGTTAAATATCACAGTGGCCTGGAGAAGAGGGTGATAGAGGTTACAGTTTCTGGACAATGATGCAGAGGCAGACCTTCTTAAACATGGATACAAGACACTGAAGATGTATTGGCTACGAAAGCTCATAATGCTGGAGAATGGACAAGAGAAAGAGAGGCTTTCGGGCACGCTGGGACAAGAGCAATGTTCTGTAAAAGATCTGCTGGTTGATGAATAATTTGGGTGTTAATGAATGAAATCAGTTATGTAGTTATGGTTGAATCTTGGTATGGAATTGTGGGAAGATTGTCTGAAGTCTGTAGATTATCTACAAGCTAGAAGATCAGTGTCATTGCATCAGATTGTATTTCATTTGGTTCAGTCTCTTTCTGCACTGGGACCATTTGCCCACCAAGAGTTGAGTCAGGAATTGACATCACAGCACTCGGGGCATTCCCATGCATGCTCTGTCCTCATCTTCAGCAGCCAGCGCAGAGTTCCAGTACTGATTGCACCGGTCACAATCTCGTTTATGTCCGTCTTGCCTTTCCTCTGAGTGTAGTGAGCCGGTCAGACCCTCTAGTTATACCCAGGTGCCTCATTCTGTCCATGCCATAATCTTGTTTCTCTACTAATTCCGTTGCTTGTTCCTAAAGAGCCTTGACCACATCTGCCTTGTCATGTATCAGTTCACCACCCAGTGGTGCAGATCCAGCCAATATGTCTGCCTGTTCATTACCCACTACGCCGGCATGGCCTTAAAAAAAGATCCAACGTATGTTCACTACCTGTGACCTTTCCAGTGAACTTGCTTGCCCACAAAGATTACAACACAAAGCATAAAACTCTTTTGGTCCAGCAAAGTCCACAAATCTAACGGGCTTCAGAGCAAGAGGCAAAAAGCTTAACCGATTCACCACGGAGACCCTTATATGACTATATGTTACACAAGAAGACGTACAAGATGATAAATCTTGTACGAGACAAGCAAATCCTGACATTGTGTTTTTCTTTTTATCAGGATATTCAGTACTATGGGAAAGGAAACTCAGTTAAAATTCTTGCAGTGGATTGTGGGATCAAACAGAACATGATCAGACATCTTGTTGCGGTAGGTGATTATATAACAATTTGTTTTTCTTCCAATTCTGATTCCATTCTAGAAAGAAAAAAATCACAGCCATATTCAGCCTGCTGTTGGCAGCAAGCCGCCAACAAGCTCCGGTTATATTTGTGGTCTGGTTTATTTGCTCCACTTTTGTGGCTAAGATTCTGATATGTGCACCAGCTCTCTGGCTAAATGTTCCTGTCCTCAAAGACAGATCGCTCCTTTCTGCCTTTGTCCCCATGTGCTCCTTTTATCCTTGTCTTCCTGGTGTTATCCTCCATCCGGTTCCGTTTCTTATTATCTTGCTATCTTGTCCCTGTGTTCTCTATTGTATCTCTGATTCTGTTCCTACCTATTTAGGGCAGGTTGTTTTTCTTAGCCTGTGGCAGAAAGGTCTTTTTGTGTGTGTGTCCACTGAAAACAGAGCAACCTGTCTCCACAAAGTCAGTGATGCCTGTACAAACTTTGGGTTCACCATCAACAAAGATAAAACTGTAGCCATGCACCAGCCAGCCCTAGGGCAAAGATACATTGAGCCCAATATCCCAGTGAATGGCTACAGATTAAACGTTGTCAGGAAATTTACTTATCTAGGCAGCACCCTTTCACAGAGTGCCACAATTGATGACGAAGTAAATGCAAGGATCTATAGGGTTAGTGTTGCCCTTGGCAGATTGTACAAAAATGTTTGTAACAGAAGTGGCATAACCCTGCAGACAAAGCTTAAAGTATACAGAGCAGTTGTATTAACTACACTGCTGTACACATGCGAAACATGGACTGTATACCAGCGCCAGGCTAGAAAGTTAAACCACTTTCACACAGTCTGCCTTAGAAAACTAATGCAAATCAGATGGCAAGACAAAGTACCTGATACCTAGTCTTTGAAAAAGCAGCCATGCCCAGCATCCACACGCTACTCATGCATTATCAAATTTGTTGGGCTGGTCATGTGGCACGCATGCCAGATCACAGGCTCCCAAAAAACTCTTCTATGGTGAGCTGCAAAATGGGAACGGTGGGAACGTTCCCAAGGCGGGCAAAAAAAAAGGCTTTAATCACACCTTGAAGTCTTCACTCAAAGCATTTGGGATAAATGACACCAATTGGGAGGCTGCCTCTCAAGACCGAAATACATGGCGTGCAACTCTACACAAGGGCGCGGCTACATGTGAAGCAAACAGAACAGCAAGACTTATTGAGAAAAAAAAGGACAGAAAGACGACTGTCCTCACTGTCCAAGAACTTTTCTGGCCCGCATCAGCCTCATCAGTCATCTTCGTACTCATACTTGATTAAAAAGAGCGGTCGTCATGATCTTGATGGACAACACACACTTCTAAGGTAGAGACCCTCTGACTTTGAAGGAAACACCCCTGATTAGTTCCTTTGACGACTTGCTTGTAAGGGAACAGTGGATCTGTCCCCCCCCCCCCGAATGGAGCCCTGTACCTGTGACTTTTTGTCAGTTTGGACAGAAAACATTGTTGATTTGTGCAGTTCCTGGTAGTTTTTGTGTCACTGCCTTTTAAGCATTATATATTCCTACCTTCACTGTGTCTGTTCTGGCTCTTCTAGCATGGTGCTGAGGTCAAGGTTGTACCGTGGGATTATGACTTTTCTGAGGAGCCCTATGATGGACTGTTTATATCGAATGGGCCTGGCGACCCAGCTTTAGCAGTAGACATAATCTCCAATCTCCGCAAAGTAAGTATATTACTTTGAGAGTTTAACCTTTCATTGGCAGATAATTTTGTGTGTTAAACAGTTGTGTCATTTTCTGCTTGCTAATGTCTGTACATTTCTCTGTCTCTCTTTCCTTCTTTCATTTCCTTTCTTTCCTCTCTTTCTTACATCTTACTTCCATATCTCTCCTTCTTCTTTCCCTTCCTTTCTTATATCTCATTCTTATATATTTATTTCATCCCTTTCTTCTCTATCTCTTTTATTTTCCTTCCTCCTTCCTTTCATTTCTTACATTTTTTTCCCGAAATCTTCCTTCCGTACCTCTTTTACTTTTCTCCTCTTATCCCTTCCTTTCTTAATTCCTTTTCTTACCTTCTTTAAAAACTATTTCCTATCTCTTACTTTCTGTTTTCCTTCCTTTATTTCTTCCACCCACTCCTTCCTTCCTTCACCCCTCTTTGCTTTCTTCTTACTTTCCTTCTTCCATTCCATCCTTCCTCATCTCTCTTACTTATCTTCTTCAGTCATTTACTTCATTTGAACCAATCTCTCTCATACTTTCCTTAATTCCCTTTTTTGTATCCTCCTTTGTATTCCTCTATGCTTTCCTTTCTTTCTTGTCTGCTTTTCCTTTTGTCCTTGCTTCTCTTATCCATTTTCTCCCATCTTCTCTTCTCACTTCTTTCTTACCATTCCTTCTCTTTTATTCTCTTCTTTCTTTCAGCCTCTGTAGCGTTTGACACGGTTTATTGCAAATACAGTCTGACTTTCCCCTCAAACAACTATAGTATGACATGACATGTATTGTCATGCCTGCAACAGCAAAACACCTGAACTGAAAGGAATTCACTCTCCTTGCCAATAATGTAGCTGGCTCACCGCCATCATTTCAGTACGCCAAGTTGTAAAATGCCTGCCTGGAGAATAGAGTTGATAGATAATAAAGAATTATTGGCACTTATGTACACCTCTCTGCGGTCTTTTAAAAAACATGTTCCCAACCGGGTAATGAACCCTGACTGTGTAAAACAGATTTGAACACAGTTGACTGGATGAAACAGAACTTCAACAAATAAAGTTGACTAGATGAAACAGAACTTGACTGGATGAAACAGAACTTGAACAAATAAAGTTGACTGAATAAAACAGCTTGAACAAATAAAGTTGAATGAGGGAAATAGAACTATTACAAATAAAGTTGACTGGGTTAAACATAACTTTATTAAATATTGTCTCAGGTGATACAAAACAGAGATGAGCCTGTGTTTGGTATCTGCATGGGGAACCAGTTGGTAGCTCTCTCAGCCGGAGCCTCATGCTACAAGCTTCCTCTGGGAAACAGGTAAGAGCTCATCCAGGTGTTCTGTATTTCTAGAAGGTTCTCTTTAGAAGCAGAGAAATGTATTTATTAAATTTCAGCCACATAATTTCCTCTGTGGGTTCCGGGACCCACTTTAAGGATGGAAAAGAATAGACCCACTACTCCCCTACCAAGCATTTCATAATAGACAACTAATTAGGGATTTTTCCTTTGAAGTCAGAGTGCATCTGCCTAAGAGAGGAGAAACCAGCAGTCTGCATTCAAAAAAGCCAGATCTGTAAAATGGATGTGCATGCAAAACTCAGGTTCTGAAACAAAACCAAAGTTGACAATTGGATGAACAGCCAGATATTTTCACCAGGGTTTGCAGCCAGTGAAGGCAAAGAAGAAGTAGAAGACCCAACATAATATTTTGCACTAACATTTCATTTTCTCACAGAAAATGAATTTTCTGCATGCCAGATGAGTTATCAGAATATGAAAATGGGAAAGCTGGCATTCAATATTGTGATATGAGAAGAACAGAAGTTGTCGGATTCCTTTAGGAATGCGCTGTAGCCAATCACATGATGTTTCTGACACATGCAGAATTACTAGTAACACAGTTATGGGTTGTTTGGGACTGAAAGGGTTAATTCATATCTTCATCAATATCAACATTGTTGTCCTCTTCTTCTTCATGTTCACTGGCTGTAAACTCTGGCAGAAGTTTTGGTTGTTCGTCCACTTCTGGACTTTAGTCTTGTTCTACAACTTGAGTTCTGTGTGTGTGCACATTTGCTTTAGTGATCTGCTTATTTGTGTGCATGCTGTTGGTTCCTTACCTGTCACGCAGATGCACTCTGACTTTGAAGAAGTAACCCCTGATTAGAGGACTTTTATAGCATGCTTGTATTTTTGGGAAGTGGGGGGGGGGGGGGGTAATGTTTCTGTCTCCCCCCCCCCCCCCCCCCAAACCAGTCCTCAAAATGGGACCCCATTACACACAAGGGGAGTTGTCTTCATCAACATCATCATCTTTAGTAGAACTAATACCACAGTGACCAGTGCCCTTCCAGCACTTCATCATCATGTGATCATCATTGACTGATCTTATAGGCATCTTGGTTCAACACCAATAGGAAGGATCATGTTAGATGCATCTCAGCTTCATAGGAAGAACCCCTAATAAGATGCCTTTTAAGACATTCTTGTTAATGGGTCAGTGTTTTTTCTTTTTTCCTAGAAATGGACACAATGTGTTTACATTACTTTGTTTGCTAATGCTGTGTCATAGAGAAGACACATTATACTATAAGAAAAATAGAAAGCGGTAGTGGCCCTCTCGGGATTTGAATCTATCTGCAAATGAATGTACAGCCTCACTGAAAGAATAAATACATTTTTTGCTAGAAAACTCTAAAATAAAATTGGGAATCTTGATATATTATTTATTTTAGTTAGTTAGTCCACAGATCACACACGCTGCACATTGAACTTTTCAGTCCATAAGGCTCATTTCCCCTCGTAGTAACTACCACAGCTTGTAGCAGCTGGTGACACCACTTCTATGTTGGTTTATTCTTCTTCTTTATCTTCCTGCATAGTGCTCTTGTCTGCTCACAAACCATTAGACTTAATTTGCTATTTACAGAGGTCACAACCAGCCAGTGGTGAACATGCTAAGTGGGGAGGCTTTCATCACCTCACAGAACCACGGCTACGCTGTCGACAGCAACACTTTACCTCCAGACTGGCAGGTTCTCTTTGTCAATGCTAATGACAAGTCTAATGAGGTACTTTGATTTTTTTTATTTGAGCAAGGAGGAAGCAAGAAAGGAATGAAGAAAAGGATGGAAGATGTATAGAAGAAGTGAAGTAACAGATATAGAGAAGAATACGATGGCAGAAGAAAACTAAGAATAATAGGTAGAAAAGGGGTGGGGGGAAAAGGAAATAAAGGGAAAAGGAATGATTTAGGAAAAGTCATATTTAGAAGGAAGAATGTAGTGGAAGCAGGAGATATAACAAAGATAGAAAAGAAGGACGCAAGAGGAACATTTATTTATGGTAAGAATGAAAAAAGTAAGAGAGATTGGAAAAGAAAGGATGGCAGAAAGAAAGTAAGAGATACTGTTAATGAAAAAAGTTTAAACAAATCTGCAAATAGCCAATTTAATATATGAGTGCATGTTTAAAATATGAAATCTAATTTGACCCAGTGCGTATTCTGGAGCCATATTGTGTGGAAGAAAGAATGGACCCGCTGCGTTCTAACAAGCATATCATAAAAGGCTATTTGCTGAAATTTAATGTGTCTGGGCAAGTAGAACAGATTTCACAGCCTAGCTATAAACCCACAGTGTGCCAGTTGCCCTTTTAAGGATGAATGCGGATAAGAAGAAAGAAGAAATGTTTTTAAACAAGTTAAACTTCACTAAGTGGAATTTAGTTAGGGCTTATGGTTGCACCAGGTGTTTGTCAAACATGACTTTGGCTCCCAGGTTGACCCAGCCTTAAATGGATACCAGGTAAAGTCCTGGGAAGTAAAGGTAGCTAGCGTAATGTTGGTCCATAAAAATAGAGTGTAGCCTCATATACCTAATGCGCCACTGTCATGTAAAGAGACCTTTACTGTACTTTACTTATGATTGGCAGTTAGAAGGTGGGGGGGGGAGGTGTAGGGGGCTGGAGTAATGGAGTTGCTAGCAGGGATTTTGTATAGGTGGTCTTGTGTTTAAATTCCTGTCAAGGCTGTGATTAAAAACATTTTTAAAGACACACTTTGTATACGCATATGAACAATTTCAGTGATTGTGTTTGAAAAGAAAAGGCTGATAAATGAATTAATGAATGTTTCTCTCAAGGGAATCATGCACAAGACCAAGCCGATCTTCACTGCCCAGTTCCACCCCGAAGCCTGGGGTGGGCCCACAGATACACAGGTACGAATTTAAAAAACTTTATTTCCAGAGGGTCACAAATTGGGCACGCAGGCCTGTCTCACATTTGACCCTTTTAAACTCTCATTTTTCACAAGGCAGTTGATATTAAGCATTTATGTTGATGTATCAAAATATTCCTATTATGGAGTGTAAATTAAAAAACAAAAGCATGGATGACAATTTCATACCTTTAATCTGTGCCTAGCTTCTGAGGTAAAACTGCTGATTATTTTCTACTACAGCTGGGAGAGAATACTAGTGCCTCAAATATGGAGAGAAAAAGCACCACAATACCCACCTTCAAAAAAAATTATTTAGAAAGGAAAAGTTGGGACAGGTTTCAAACTATCAACCAATCAGCCTTCCAAACTGTAGGAAATACTTTGAAGAGAATTGTCAATCACAGACTAAAATTACACTTGGAATCAGAGCACGTCTGGATGCCAGAACAAGTTGAATTAAGAGAAGGTTATAGCATAGGAGATCTGTCAAAAAATTGTAGAAGATGATTTCCATAAAAAGAAAAAATCTTAGCTATGTGGGTTGACTTTAGACAGGCTTTTGACAAACGTGAAAAGAGGGCCTTATTGCTAAATTGAAGAGAAGTGGAATCTAGGAGAATTTGGTAAGATGTATCCAGTCCTTCATTGCTAAAAACCCTCAAGAATGGTTAAGTCTCTCCCAGTCCACTGTGGTATACCAGGAAATAAAACTACAGATAAACTAGCTAAGAAACTATGAACAGGAATACAGTGTAGTAACATTCTGTAAGAAAGAAGGTTTAAAAAAAATGGGTGGGGGGGGGGGGGGGGGGGGGGGCATCCAGTCTAGCAGAAGGGAACAAAATTAGGCCAGTGGTGACTACCATTTACTTGTCTGACATGGGCAGGTCATTAGTCTGTGACTCAGGGTAGGACATAATAAACATAACTAGCATATGCACAGGTTTCATCTGAGTAGTTCACGCTATGCCCATGTGGGCTGTGTACACAAACTGCAGAACATATCCTGATAGACTATCTAGCAGACTAGACTATCACTTGTACAGCCCATTAAGAAGGAAATACCGGCCCAGTAAGTCAACACTAACCTCAAAGTTGTATGGAACTAAAGAGGACCTCCAAACAGCGGTTAGTTCTGTCATAAGAACTTGCCTATTGGTGTAAATCAATTGAATAATCACAAGAAGAAGAAGAAAACCTGAGAAGTTAGAACTTTAGTTTTCCTAGAGAATTTGCCAACCAACATTGGTATATGACCAACAAACACAGGAATGAACAGCATGAAACTGCTAATGACATCATTTTTCTTCTTTCTTTCTTGCTTTGTCAGCAGCTTCCTTGTGCCGCTACATGTTGCATATTAAAAGATAATAGGTAGCCGAGCTAGGGCACACTCAGTTGCTTGGAATGCTGTGGCGATGTGAAGTCTCAGCTTTCAGTAACTCCCTCAGCAGTTGATCTTCTAGGTATCTGCTGGCTGTAGGTTTTTCTATTTTCATGCTCTTGCTTCCGGCATCATTGGATTCATTCTCACTAGATGGCCGAACCATTTGAGTTTTTCTTTCATAATTAATGTAGTGATGGGTATTGTTCCAACAGCTTTTCTAATCTCTTTATTTCTCACACAGCCTTTAGTTTTGTTCCGAAACATAATTTTTTGTGTGCATCTGTTTGACAGATCTCGCTTATTTGTATGCAGACTGTTGGTTCCTCGCCTCTTAGCCAGATGCACTCTGACTTTGAAGGAAGTACCCCAAATTATTTTACTTTTACAAAATGCTTCTTAAGGGGGCAATGGGTCTGTGTTTTTTTTCCTTACAAAATGGAACCCTGAAACCCAAGCATGGAATATATATTTAAAAAATAAATATTTTACACAATCATGACAACATAAATTGCTGTGAAGCTGCAAAAGTAACAGACCTTTCCCACACCTTTATGTGTATTGGGCATATAGGGCTAGACCCATTTTTATAGACCAGTGGGCACTTGGTTGATGATATGATCAACTTCATGTCAGTCACACAAAAAAAGGCAAAGGCTTGAATCCGATTTCTGTTTGTTTCCTCCACAGTTCCTCTTTGACTACTTCATGGAACTGATCAAACAAAAGAAGACTTCCCTCCATCAGATCATTCAACCCAAGAAACATACTAACAAAATGGCTGATGTAAGTCATCATTTGTGAGATTATATGTAAATATCCTAATTTCACATTTTTTGCAATAATCACTGTCATTGGAGATTAGGAAATAAATTCTCACAAGCTATATGGAGCCGGTTTTAACATAAGGCTGTGAATCCTGAACAATTAATAAACAGGATGAACAATATCTTGAGGCCTCGGAGCTGTGGTTTTATGGAAGAATTCTTAGAATTCCTTGGAAGAAGAGTAACCCAGGTGTTTTAAAAGAGGCAGGTGCTTGAAGACAACTTACCACAAACATCAGAAAGAGCCAGTAATCATTTTTGGTCATGTTATTAGAAGAGGGAAAAGGGAACATGCTGTGACCACTGGATAGATTTGTAGAAAAAGAGACAGATGAAGACAGTGCAAGAAGATTCTTGACAGCCTTTTGTCGAGGCCTGGAGGGGTGTCAACACACGAACTGATACACGAACTGATACACGCAGCTGCAGATTGTGGAATGGCATGATTGCAAGGCACTTAAAGATGAGGACCCTCATTTTAGTGGTCAAAAGTGTCAGGGACACGGAGGAAAGGTCGTTTTAGAGGAGTATGGTCAACATGACAGGGTCTGTTTCTGAGTTCGTCCTTACAAGGGCGGTTGACATGTCATGCTGTCGTTTACAGCAAGGCTGCAATATTTACATCTTTTGGCCCAACACCTCCAGTGTTAAAAAATATTTTATTGTCTTGTGTGACTTGCTTGTTAACTCATTGATGTATCAATGTCTTTTTTTTTTTCCATTGACTGCCAACAATCACTTATTGTGTTCTTTCATTGTTCACATTTGGTCAGAGAATGATGGTAAAATCTGGCTTCCTGTGGTTACTTCCAGTCACTTTGCATTTTGCTTAATTCAGGTCATACACTTGCGATTATGATAGTGGTTATTGCACCTGGAAATATATCAAAAACCATTCTGGGACCTGGAGAGTTAAAGGGCCCGGGTTCTTCTTTATTTTTTTTTAAATCTGTCCCTAAAATGGGACCCACGTTGGTAACATAATGTGATGATAATGATTTTCTCATGTTCACACCATCCTGGAACCCACATAAGTAACATAATGTGATGATAATGATCTTCTCATGTTCACACCACCCTGGAACCCACATGGGTAACATAATGGGATGATAATGATCTTCTCATGTTCACACCACACTGGAACCCACATGAGTAACATAATGTGATGATAACGATCTTCTCATGTTTACACCACCCTGAAACCCACATGGGTAACATAATGTGATGATAATGATATTCTCATGTTCACACCATCCTGGAACCCACATAGGTAACATAATGTGATGATAATGATCTTCTCATGTTGACATCATTAGCTGCGATAGTGCTCTGGTTAGATACTTGCCTGCTGTCTAAAGATCTTGGATTCGAATACACACTGGAGCAGAATTTTGTGATTGACCTAGAGACTGCCAAGTTAACCTAATCTGTAGTGGGTCGTGCCTGAGCTACCTCAGTATTCTCCTGCAGTCTCCTTATTTTGTTATGTGGTCATCGTCTAGGAAGCTCTTGTGTGTGACTGGAGGAGTTCATACACCCTTAACACTTGGTTGGATGCATAGCCACATAAAGCATCCAACAATGACTAAACCATTTCATTCTCTTTCTTTCAGTGTAATCCTCCCCGTGTGGGTTTCTGGGCTCAGTTGTAGGGAAAACAAGAATATACCTACCGCCTCCCTAGAAAGCATGTTGTAAGAGTTGACAAACAGGGGGGCTTTCTTTGAAGTTGCAGTGCATCTGCATGAGCGGCAAGGAACCAACAGTCTGCATACAAATAATTCAGAGTTTTTCTGGAATTTTTACAGCCGGTGAAGGCAAAGAAGAAGAGTAACAATGTAATCCATACCCAGTCTTGTTGAAACCTTCTCTCTTAGGTCAGTTGTTCGGTGATATTTGTTTGAGATCTTTTGGAAACAGCACATTTTGCAGGTAGTCATATTCTCTTCTTGTGATCTAGTCATTGTCCATGTTTGGCACGGATAGCATAAACTAGGGATGGACACTAGTTTTCACCTGTTCACAGGTCCAGCTGGATGACCACATCATCCACCAAGTGTGGATTGGTCTATAAAATATACATTTAGCCCTATATGCATGAAAGTGTGGAAAAGGGTTTTTAACTTTACTTTCTTTATTCACAGGTATCCAAAGTGCTTGTTCTGGGCAGCGGTGGCTTGTCCATCGGGCAGGCTGGGGAGTTTGACTACAGCGGATCTCAAGCTATCAAAGCTCTAAAGGCGAGGATTTCTATAATCTTATATAACTTAATTTTCTTATTGTAGTTGGTCTTGTCGCTTGTACATGTATATTTACTTTGTCTCTGCTAAAGTAATCTGGTAATCTGGTAATCCTAGTTTCAGCTTCATAGCAAACGGGTCACCCCACATATGCTCCGCTCCTGTGCCAACGAAAAACAAACGCAGCTCACAGTGTCACGCCATGCACTCAACTCAGAAGCTGGGCGACGAAACTACATCCTTCCAGTCTACAAATGGAGCAAAAATGCAACGGCCACCGTCTGGAAAAATATTTGCCACGGCTTAAAAAAAAAAAAAAAAAAAAAAAAGGTGGCCGTACCTAGCGTCCATTTTGACCGGAAGAATTATATGAGGGTTAATAAACGGTCACCCCAGCAGTACCCTCATTATTAGCTGGGGAAGGGACTTAGGACATTACATCCACCAGCAGGCGTCGCCCCTACAACGACCTGCCTGCCATCGTTAACGACTGTTCACCCAACAGCCATGCAGTTCTTTGGCACGAAGGAGACACCTTGAACTTGGGTTTCGTACTGCCGACTCCCTACTAAGATGTTATTTTATGTTCTTTTATCACAATTAATGTCACTGCACATTGGGCATACCCATGCGTGCTCAGTTCTCCGAAGCAGCAGCCACTCTAAAGTACTTCTACTAATTGTCCCCATGAGAAGCTGGTTATATTGTCTCCTTTCTCGGCCTCGAAGACGGCAAAGACGTGCATCACCATGCTTAACTCCCATGTCACGCAATCGTGTTAGTGTCAGGGATTCCTCATTCTCCACTAGCCCGGTTCGTACAGCGTTGACTATGTCTGCTCTGTCCATACTTTTTCCTGCAATCATTAGTGCAGTGCTTGCCAGTTGGTCTGCTCGCTCATTTCCCTTCACGCCCGCATGACCCGGTGTGTAGATCCAGGTTACGGAGGTTAAGTGCGATTTCCTGATGCTTTCTATCCATTCAGAGCGCATACTGCCTGTTGCTATCTTCTGAAGCATATTCATTGAGTCTGAGACAATTACTACCTGTGTGGCGGTTTGCTCGGATACCCATGCTAAAGCTCTAGAAGCAGCGGCTATTTCCATTGTCATGCTTGACGTGGTTGTCTGGTAAGCGCCGCTGTCCTCATGTATTGTTTTCCCCTTTCTTTGCGCTGTGTATGCCCATGCTTACCTTGATCCGCGCTTCACAGATCCATCTGTGTAGATGATGGTATCTTCTGGGTCTGAATGCTGATCTATCAGTTCCCTTACTTCTGTGTCTACCGCCGCAGGAATTTGATCCCTGCAGTACCTTCCGAGTGTGATGACAACCTTAGAGATGCCATGCATGTCTACTGGTGTATTCGTCCATTCTTTTCCGTGGCTGATCACGTCTAGGTCACATACCTGCTGGATTAATTCCTCAGCCTTTGCCATCCAAGAGCGGCCCCTTTTGAGACGCGTTCCTTTTGTGTTGTGAATAGCTTTGTGTAATGGGTGGTTAACATCTGCCGATACCCTCATGTAAGCCTTGACCTGTGCCACTTTGTATCTGCTTGTCATAGTCGGCAGACCCAGGATATAACGCATGGCGTTGCAGGAGGTGTCTTTTGTGCAGCCGAGTATGAGTCTCATGGCCTCATTCTGTACTCGGTCCAGTCTTTCTAGCTGGGTTTTGCTGACAGTGAGGAGGCCGAGACCATAGTCAATGACGCTAAGCACAAGCCCTTGATAGAGAAGGAAAAGTAGACGTTGTTCAATATCAGCTGCTGCTAGCACCTTGAGTGCTGTCAAACCTTTCCTGGCTCTAAGTATGACGTTGTCTACGTGGCATTTGTATGACAAGCATCTGTCAAATGTCATGCCCAGGTATTTCATGGTGTCCGTTCTCTCGATGTCCACACCACAGATGCTTACGACTGGCGTTGGTGTACTCACGATGTGGGTATTCAGAGAGAACCATGTTAAGGAGGCTTTGGACGGGTTCACATGAGCTCTTGATTCCTGGCACCACTCACTAAGTCTGTCTAGTTCGTGTTGTAGTGTGGTTGTAATTTCCTGCCTGTTTTTACCTCGACGGTAAACGAGGATATCATCTGCATACGACATTGTTCTGCCTAGGCATTGTTCTGCTAAAGTGTCGGCTCTGTGGCTAAGTCAATACAAACGCTTCGTAATGCCAGGATGCCGGGTTCGATCCCAGCTGTGGGCCATGCACCTTGCGTTGGTTTCGACAGTGGTGTCAAGAAAGCCGACTGTCCAGAAAGCAATGGCAAACTACTGGATGTAAATTTGCCTAGAAAAACCACACAACAGCCAGGGGCTGTTGGGGTTGGTTCTGCAACGTCCTGTAAAGGATACGCAACTAACCAACCAACTCTGCTACAGTAAAACCTTGTTAAAACACAAACTCACTTAATGGTTAACATGAACAAAATTGTGGTTCCAGGAGGGCTGGCCAAATGGTTGAGATAGCAGGGCTCTTATTCAGGAGACCCAGGTTCAAATCCTCAGTAAGGTTGAGAATCATTTTCTTTTGGGGGCAAAAAAAATTTCTAGCTCACACTGTCCGTGGTGACTGCAGTAGCCATGCGGCTCTAAATCCTCAGACTCAAAGACCCTGAACCTCTCTGCCTACACCGCATAAGTGCTAAATACAGGCAGTTTATTGGTAGTTGTAGGGATGTATCACAGACATCAGAAGGAGACAGTCATCATTTTTCAGCCATGTTATGAGAAGAGGGAAAATAGAACATGTTGTGACCACTGGAAAGATCTGTGGAAGGAGGGATAGAGGAAGACAACGAGAAAAGATGCTTGACAGTCTTGTTGCATGGCATGGAGGTCTGTCGGCACACGAACTGATACATGCTGCAGGAGATCGCAGATTATGGAGAGGCATGATCGCCCACGCCAGTCGGCAAGGCACCTGATGATGATGATGAGGGATGTATCATTGTTTATTAGTCCCCAGTTAGTCTAATAGTTATTATTACAGTTAGTTATTAATAACAGATAGTTATTCTAAGATAGATTGTTTATCTGAAAGTTATTCATACAGATAGAATTTCCTACTTGTAGTTATTTCTCAAGATAAACTTTAGTCTGGTAATCATTCTTAAAAATATCATACCTAGCTAGAAGTTATTCCCAAAGATGGATAATAAGTGTATCCTGGCAGCTGTTGCAGATAGCATGCACCCCAATCCACACCAGCATACTAGACTTTAAGCACATCATCCTGTTTGTGTTTATGATAGAAAAAGAGACAGAAGAAGAATTGGCTTCCTTCATTTTCTTCTTCTTCCTTCTTCTCTTCCTCCTTGTCCTCTCTAGTCCCTGTTCTGCCTTTCTGGGTCAGATTTTGAAGAGACATCTGGTGTGAGCCATGATTTTTGTTGTTGCTGTGGAGTTACTGATATTCTGGCAAACTGCAAGTATCCTATCCACTAACTTACTATAGCATTCATATACTTTCTGTTAACAAGTAACTTGGGCCGAGCGTGACATTTTCACCAATGTTTCATTACCAGGAGGAGAATATCAAAGTGATCTTGATGAACCCGAACATTGCCTCAGTACAGACAAATGCTGAAGGAGAGAAGCAGGCGGATACTGTCTACTTCCTGCCGATCCAGCCAGATTTTATCAAGCAGGTCATTGAGAAGGAGCGACCAGATGGAATCTTACTGTCTATGGGTGGCCAGATTGCCCTTAATTGTGGTAAGTTACTTATAATAGTTGGTGTCTCTGGCTAAGGTGTTTTGAATATGCTTCGTAATTCTGAGGTACCTGGTTTTATTTGAGCTATTGATGATTTGGCAGCAGACCACCTTGCATTGATTTTGGCATTGGCGTCAAGAGCTGACTGTTCAGAAAGCAGTGGGAAACCAGTGTTGTCTAGAGGAACCAAACATAGTCAATAAATGCTGGTGTTGGTTCTGCAACATCCTTTTCAGTGCAGGGTGGTCTGCTGCCAAATTACCCACAGCTGGGATTGAACCTGGCACCACAGAATTATTAAACTAAGCATCTACATACAACCTAGCATTTACATAAAGCTAAATACCTACATAAACATCCTACAGCTGATAATTAAACAAACAAATTATTTACAAAAACTCCACTGTCAGGATAGATAAACTTGTGGACATAAAATTAGAAATATTTGAAGTATATCATTTAGTTAGAACAGACTAGTACAGACAGCTTAGACATTGGATTGGTTTTTAATTTAGTGTCTGAATGGATTGATGATGATAGTTGATTATCTGGTTTTTTTTTTTTTTTTTTTTTATCTTCTAGCAGTCAGCCTGTACTTGCAGTTTGGTATTCTATATGAACTGCCCTTCTTATGTGAGCTTCTGTAGAGTTTGATGTCAAGGGTTATAGTGATAATTATACCAAAGCTCAAGTTGTCTGGCTGTGTTGTTCAGTATTTTACTGGTACCATCATCATTGGAGCTCAGCGTGGCTGCTGAAGATGGCATCAGAGTACTTATGGGAATGTCCTGAGTGCTTTAGTGTTGGTCCTTAATTCAACTTAGCTTTCTAAAACACTGCTTGGTTTGTTTGACAGGTCTAGAGCTGGAGAAACAGGGAGTTTTCAAAGACTACAGCATTCAAGTGTTGGGAACTCAGATCCCAAGTATCGAAGCCACAGAGGATAGGCAGATATTTGCAGACAGGTTGAAGGTAATTCATCAAACTTATCCTGAATGCAGCGTCGAAAGCCATCCCAAGGGGCAGCCGGAAGGCATATAAACCTTTTTGGAATCAAGAAATTCAAAATACTATATCTGAAAGGAATAAAGCAAGAATATTTCTCGAAACTGCACGTTCAACAGAAGCAAAGATCCAATACAATAAAGCATGTGCCAGAGTAAAGCTTGTAGTTAATAAGGCTAAAAGAGATAAATGGACAGAAACTTGCTCCAACTTAGACCTTAGACAGAATGGAAATAAAGCATGGACTTTAGTTAAAAACCTCTCCGGAGAAAGTAGAAGGGTGAACCCAAAACCAGTGACAGATGGGAGTAAGACAATCACTGAAGACAAGAAGAAAGCAGAACATTTCAATCATTATTTTGCCTCAGTTAACAGAGCAGGTAAGCTGTCAGAACTCAATAGAACACAGCTCTCTCAGTTGAAGAAACAAGAGAGAGCTCCAACAGCCAGCGACTCCCTTTTTGAAAATGAATTTAGCATGGATGAATTAGAGCAAGCCCTGAAGAAATTAAAACCTAGAAAATCTCCAGGCCCAGATAAGATCCACAACGAAATGCTGCTACATCTTGGCTGGTCTGGGAGAGAAGTAGTTCTCAGGCTTATTAATAAAACTTGGAGGTCAAGCAAACTTCCAAGGGCATGGAGGAATGCATATATCGTCCCCATCCTTAAAACCAAAAAGCCTCCAGATGACCCCAAAAGCTACCGCCCGATATCCTTAACATCATGCTTGGGCAAAGTTGCAGAAAGAATGATAAACAGGCGCTTATATTGGTTCCTTGAGAGTTCTGGTGTTCTATGCCATGAAACAGGCAGGCTTCAGAACCAACAGCTGCACAGAAGACCAGCTGTTCAGACTGACACAAAGAATACATGATGGCTTCCAGAATAAGAAACACACAGTGGCAGTCTTTGTCGATCTCCAGCAGGCCTATGACAGAGTATGGAGAAAAGGTCTCCTGATGAAGATGATGAGCATAGGAATACATGGCAGATTGTATAACTGGGTGAAATACTTCCTGATAGATAGAACAATCCAGACTAAGATGCACAACGCAATCTCTTCTAAAGAAGTCTTGGAGGAGGGCTTGCCACAAGGCTCATCATTGAGCTGTACACTATTCCTAATCTTTATCAATGACCTGCCTGAACAAATCAAGGCCGAAAAAGCCTTGTACGCTGATGACCTAGCAATATGGCAGAGTCATGAAAATGTGGAAAGTGGAGACCAAAGACTGAATGGAGACCTTAGAAGACTGCATGATTACTGCCAAAGATGGAAACTCAAGATTAACTGTGCAAAGACGGTCTACACAATCTTTACCAAAAGCCACCAAGTAGCAAGGAAGAATATTAACCTGAGGTTAGACAAACACCAAGTGATGAAAGAAGAGCATCCCACATACCTTGGAGTCACACTTGACCCGCAGCTCAGCCTCAAGAACCATATTGAAAACATCAGGAATAAGGCATTGAGGCGGTTACAGTTATTAAAGAGACTTGCAGGTACATCATGGGGATCAGACAAGGAAACTCTGAGGGGCTTATACCTAGGATATGTTCGCTCTGTGATAGAGTACAACAACTCACTGCTTACAACTTGTTCCAAAGCTAACCTAGAGACTCTTGACAGAGTACAAAATAATGCCCTCCGATTAATCTGCGGAGCTATGCAGTCTACACCAACTGCTGCATGTGAAATCCATACAAATGTGGAACCCCTCGGGTTGCGGAGAGAAAAAGCCACTTTAGAAATTTATGAAAGATGCGTTAGGAAAAATCGTAACCATCCTAATAGACATCTTGTAGAAAACTGGGAATCCAAACAAAGAATAAAGCACAAATCGGTTTTTACACTGTGTTAATGAAATTCAGGACAGATACCACCTCCCAGAAAGACGTCAAGGAATTCAGAATGTTGCAAAAAACCTACCACCACATGCTCGCTTTAAAGCTCCAGAAGTCCAAACTAAATTGGTAGGCGAGGAAACCAAACAGTCCGACCCAATCGCTCTTATGAACTCATCACTAAAGACCGTTGATTCTTACCCCCAAGAATGGATACATGTCTATACTGATGGATCAGCATTTAAAGCTACCATTAAAGCAGGTTACGGAATCTACATAGGTTATCCCGATGGATCTGTTGAAGAGATTTTTGATGCATGCGGGGAATTCTGTTCAAACTATGAAGCTGAAATAATTGCACTGGAAACAGCAGTATACCACCTAAAGACTGTAATGGATGTTTACCCCTCAAAGGTCCAAAATATTGTCATCTTCACAGACTCAATGTCTGCCCTTCAAGCTCTGGAGGGCAATGAACGCTGCAGAACTGACATAGCCAAGATAATCCTGGATGCCGATCAGCTTATTACCTCATACAACATCAGAATAGTGATGCAGTGGATTCCAGGTCACTCCGGCACACCAGGTAATGACAGAGCTGACAGATTGGCAAAGAAAGGAGCAACACAAGAACAACCACCTACAGCGACAACCCTCCAGACAGCAAAAACACTGATAAGAGCTATAAACAAAGAGACTTGGTTGAACAGATGGGCCATGGGAGACACTGGAAGAGAGGTTTATAGACATATGTCTGGCCCTGATCCTAATGACAGCATTAACCATCTAACAAGAAGGGACCAGGCCACCATCTTCAGACTTAGAACGCAACATACTCCACTCAATGGACACCTAAACAGAATACAGCCACAACACTCCCCAGAGTGCCAGCTATGTAACTACCCCTACGAAACTGTTGAACACCATCTCTTTGAGTGCCCAAAACTCAGTGAGACAAGAAGAACGCTACTCCCTCCGAGACCAGACAAGTGGAACACCTTGTACGGAGGAAAAGAACAGCTTGTGAAAACATGCAAATTCCACTACATGGCATTGGGCCAAAGGGCGAAAGCTCATGCGCCGCTGGATCGATAACAACAACAACAACATCAAACTTATCATCATCACTATACTCATCATCATCATTCTCATTAAATCTGTTATCAACCATATTCATCATTGTCATCATCACAACCTTGGCCATCACTATTCAGCAAGTCTTACATAACATGTCGCTCTTCTTCTTCTTCTTCTTGTGTTCGCTTTCTGATTTACACCGATAGACAGGTTCTTGTGATAAACTTGACTGTTTTTATGAGTTCATTTTTAGTCCCATACAACTTTGTGTACAGTGGTGACTCACTGGGCCAGTATTTCTTTCTTAATGGGCTGAACAAGGGACAGTCTTGCAGTCATGTTCTGTAGTCTGCACACATAGCCCACAAGGGCAAAAAGGTGAACTACTTAGACGAAGCCTGTGCATATGCTGGTTAAGTTTGTTATGTCCTGTCCTGAGACGTAGGACAATGACCTGCCCATGCTGGTCAAGTAAGTGGTAGTCATCTCTGGCCAGACTCTGTTCACTTCTAATAGCCTGGATGGCCCTTTTCTTCTCATAGTATGTTACTGTATTCTCTTCCTGGTCACATTCTGCCCCTTTTTTAGATGTCGCTCTCATTAGGACCAATACCCTGATGTATTTTAAGGCTCAAAATGTCTCGGGTTTTTCATGTGTCCTACTTTAAGCTGGTCACCTCTAGCAGCTTTTTCTTCTTCTTTTTCTTCTTCTTTCTCTCCTCCTCCTCCTCCTTCTTCTTCTTCTTCTTCTTCTTCTTCTTCTTCTTCTTTGCCTCCTCCTCCTACTCCTCATCCTTCTTCTAGAAATCATGCCTTCCATTACCATTCTTTCTAAATTACTTTGGAAGATGTGACTACTGAGATTAGACAAAAAAGCCCCTTATTCATATTATCAGTGCTTCCAGAGGAGTATGTGCATGTTCAAAAAATACGAGTGGTTGTTACCACAGAGTTACCAGTGCGCTTTATTGCATACACACCTGCTGGGTTTGTTATGGCTGCTTCACCCATCAACTATGAATAGAAATTCTAGTGACAGACAGTTGGTTTTGGCACCTCTAGTTGCTGTCTTATACATTGGATGCACACACAAACTGTTGGATTGTTCTGAGACTGCTGTCAGTTTGACTTTTTCAGATGGGACAGTCATAAGAATTTTGTTTGGTTTTTATCGGCACAGCAACAAGGCAATGATTGTGTGACCCATCAGCGGTTAAGTTGGAATAGCCTGAAACATGTTGTCTCATCCGTTGAGCTTTCTAGCCTTTTTTGGCAGCATTCAGTTATGTCTGTATCGTTGCTTTGTGTTTGATACCTTACATGTATTTCTGTGTCTCTTCTACTTACAGGAAATCGATGAGAAGCTGGCACCAAGCTTTGCCGTTCACACAACTGAAGATGCAGCTGAGGCAGCAACAAGAATCGGCTATCCTGTCATGTTGCGTGCTGCATTTGCTCTGGGAGGACTGGGGTCTGGTGTCGCCAACAATGAAAAGGAACTGCGTCAGATTGCTAACAAGGTAAATCATTATATATTATAAGATTATTTCTGCTTGCTCTTCTTCATGGTTTCAGTTCAGGATCACTTTCACTGCACTGAGTATGCCTCCTTAAGTGCTCCAGCTTGCTTCCATAGATCACTTATGGAATTTCAGCATATTGCAAACTAAAAATCGATTGGTTGAGTAGTTTGCCTCCCTGGGCTGCTAGCTAAAGATTTACCAAATCATGCCGAGATTTTAAAATCTTATTCTGGATGGCAGACCAAGAGACAGATCCCAGATGCCCTATCAATTGTGAGGATAGCATTTCTGATTTCTGTTTCTAAAATGTAACTGGGAAAGCTGCCTATTTGTTGTATTTTTTTTTTCTTTCAAATTTCCCACTTGATTTGCCTCAGGACTGAGTGAGCATCAGCAGAGTCCTACATGGCTCTCTGTCCTTGCTGTCAGCAGTCAGTAATTCTGGCTCTCTGTCCTTGCTGTCAACAGTCAGTAATTCTGGCTCTCTGTCCTTGCTGTCAACAGTCAGTAATTCTGGCTCTCTGTCCTTGCTGTCGACAGTCAGTAATTCTGGCTCTCTGTCCTTGCTGTCAACAGTCAGTAATTCTGGCTCTCTGTCCTTGCTGTCAGCAGTCAGTAATTCTGGCTCTCTGTCCTTGCTGTCAACTGTCAGTAATTCTGGCTCTCTGTCCTTGCTGTCAACAGTCAGTAATTCTAGCTCTCTGTCCTTGCTGTCAACAGTCAGTAATTCTATCCAATATTTTAATATTTTTAGTCTAGAGTTTTCAGTTTTTTTCTTCTGCCCTTATCCTCAGCTGTTCCCTGAAGGATTACAGTCAGAGCATCTCACATTTTCATGCTGAAACCACATAAATTGTTTACATTTTGCCAATAAAAATAGTCGTTCCTGATGGCCTGTAAACCTAAATACTTTGTCTCACATTTATTTTGTTCTCTTTGTGCCTGACACAGAATTTCCCTGAAGCATTACATGTCAAAGTCAAAAGTTTGGCTTCTGAATTCTGTTTTTATAGTGAGAGGAGATATTACGTCCAGATGAAAGAATGGATACCACAAGTCGTAGTAGTAATTTTTCAAAAGTATACTGTTTTACCCTCAGGGTTATAATTGGTATGTATGAAAATACCACAAGTGTCTTGTATAATTTAATATTGATTGGAGAGAACTCCGGAACCACACAAGAGTCGAGCAGCATAATTATGATGATAAGACAAGGCCACTGCATTATATTGTTTCTCTATTCCATAGCCAGGTAAGGATTGTCAAAGATCAAATTAACAAATTAATGAACAAACTGTATTTTCAGAGGGTTAAGAATTGGGCCCACATGCCTCTCGGACTTTCTCCCATGTGACCTCACTTCTTTCAAATTTCATTAATACATCTTTTTACTTCTAAAAGTAAACAACTCACTATTAATTTCATACACTAGAGTTTTCTTGAATTATGCCTGTTTTTCTAAGCCCCCCCCCCCCCCCCCCAAAGATCATAGTACTTGTACTAGATCGATGGAAAATATATGATGTGCTCAAAGTAATAGAACACAGACAAGAAAGTTGAAACAGTTTGGTTATGTTCTCTCTGTGACAGAAAAACATTTTGAAATATTTTTTATTTACCAAACAGGCATTTGCCATGACCACTCAGCTTTTGGTGGAGCAGTCACTTCTTGGGTGGAAGGAAGTGGAGTATGAGGTTGTCAGAGATGCGTTTGATAACTGTATTACGGTGTGCAACATGGAGAACCTAGATCCTCTAGGCATTCATACAGGTAATGGTCACATGATATGCTAGAGACTTTTTTCTTTTTTGTAGTGTGAGTATGCTAGTGAATGTAATAATAGAACAAGTCTTATGTCAGGTAAGGTAATCAGAGTTTCAGTTTCATAGTAAATGGGTCTCTCACTAGTTGCCTTGCTCCTGTGCCAACGAAAACCACATAGAATGACCATCACTGTCGCTTGTGAAAAAACTGACACAGACTGCAGTCTCAAAAAATCCAACAGCATACACAGCATTAAAAACATAAGACAGCCATCTTCTTCTTCTGCGTTCGACATCAGTCATGCTAAACATTGAGTCCTGCCTGGGTCACAAATAGGATTGTGCGTTTAAGGTCGCCACCGGTCCCCCATAGCTTCTCTTGCAATGTGGCTCCCTTGGGTCAGATCCACAGTCTTTGCTGGGAGAGAGGGCAGTACTGTAGTATGTGTTCAGGGGTTTGTCTTTCTGCTCCACAATCACAGGCAGCAGATTCTTTTATGCCTATCCTGTACAAGTGTGCTCGAAGACCACAGTGTCCAGTCCGAAGTCTAAAAATTGATGTTTGTTCTTTCCTGTTGAGTTTGTTTATGCTGTCACTCTCTGGTCTAATCTCCATTCTGCCTTCTCCACTCCCGCTTGAAAGACTGCTTTAGCGCTGTTTTGGTTTCCTTATAGCTGTGTGGTGGATGAGGTTGTGGAAGATTACTCCCAGCTTTTGCCAACTCATCTGCTCTCTCATTTCCTTGAATACCACAGTGGGCTGGTATCCACTGCAAGACCAGTTCTGCTTCCTTGTAGAGTAAACCAATGTTAGTCCTTAGATTAGCAATTAGTTTGTCTTTTTTTTTGCTGGATAGTGCTTGGAGAACAGACAATGAGTCACTAAGTATAACAATTTGGTGCCCTCTGTGTTCTTGAGTGATGAGATGTTGGACTGCAGAGAGGAGGGCAGTTGCCTCAGCTCTGAAGTTAGTGCAGATGTCACCTGCTGGTAGAGAGAAAGTTTCTGCTCTACTGCTAGGGGGTTTAATGTATATTCCACAACCCCCCTTTCTGACTGCATCTGTAGCAGAGCCGTCGGTGAAAACCTGAGTCCAAGTGGTGTTTGGATACTTCTCATCAAGCAAAGCAAGAGCCAGGGTTCTCTGTTGTGTCTCCGTCTGGGCATCTTTTGAAGTGATTCCTGGTACAGACAGCCATCAAACGTGCCAACAAAAACGAGGAGAGCCATCAGTGAAAAACTGAGTCCAAGTGTGTTGGGATGATACTTCTCTTCAAGCATAGCAAGAGCCAGGGTTATCTTTTGTGTCTCCATCTGTGCATCTTTTGTAATGATCCCTGGCACTTGTATGACTACATTTGCCTAGTCTGGCTTTGTTGTCCATAGTTCTCTCTAAGCTTTCGCACAATGCAACATCTGGCTATCCTCCGAATAACGGTCGTAAATTATCAATTTACCCTAACAGGGCCTCAGTCACGTTTCAATTGCACACTTTCGGGGAGTATAACGCCACCGCCGAATTGCGAAATTCTGGCAACTTCCGCCACCACCGAGAGTGACCGCACGCCGCTCATGGGGCGTGGATTGGGGCTAAACTAGATGGCTAGGACTCATGAGCAAATAAAATAAAGGTAGCTGCAGGAGATGTGGTAGCTGCTGCTCGTGAGTCCTAGCCATCTAGTTTAGCCTCAATCCACACTGCATAAGCGGCGTGGGGGACACTCTCGGCGGTGGTGGAAGTTGCCAAAAGTTTGCAATTCGACGGTGGCGGAAGTCGCTGGAAGCTCGCATTTTAAGACGACGAAACTGCGCAATTGACACTCGACTGAGGCCCTGTTAGGGTATATTTTCTGCCTCGATAATTTACGACCGTTATTCGGAGGATAGCCCAAAATCTTTTTCAAGTAGATCTTGGTGCTGTCTGTACAGTTCTCTAGCAAGGTGGTTGGGCTCTGACACTTAGGTCTGTTTTTTTGTTTTGTTCTCTCTTGAAATTTACAGTGCAGTGGGTGACTTTGTAATCTTGTTAATTTCTCATACTGTTGAAGAGATTTGTATTGTCTTCTAAGTTCAAGTGGTTCAGAATCTGCTATCCTCTATGCAGTAGAGACATATTCCATGACTGGCCTGACTGCTCCAGTGTATACATGTTTCAGGATTCTGGAAGTGGCACTCCATGTGGTACTCACTTGTTTTTTCATCACTGCAAGTTTCTTTATTGCTTTTTTTCTGTACTGTTTCTACATCTAACTCACATTTTAGTCACAAGTCAAATGTGATGCTGAGAAAGGTTGGAGTTTCAGTCTGTGAGATGAGCTGAGTTTTTTTTATCCAGACTTTATTTGGGGGGGGGGGGGGGGGGTAAGAGAAAGGTGAAGCTGTGCTTTTTAAATTGTTTTGCTTTAGATCCAACTTCTCAGTCCAGGTTTCTACATTTTCCGGTTTTCTGTAACATATATGAGGCTGTTGTTGTATATTTGGAGGCTGTCCAAACTAAAGTGTCATTAACATGTTTATGACTTAACTGCTTGCATCAACATTGAGCTGCAATTATGGTGGAGACTGTTAGTGTTGGCATATCTGAAGGCTGCCATATATGTTTACTTTACCTGCACAAGCTTCAACATTCTGCTAGGACTGACGTGTTTTTCACTAGTTTTTCAAATGGGACAGTGAAGGACATTTTTATGTGGTTTCCACTGGCGCAGGAGCGGAGCAGTTATGGGATGACCCGTTTGCGGTGAAGTTGAAATCTTGACAAACGAATTGTATATTTATGAATACAGTATTGATTCAGCTTTGATTTTTTTGTTTCAGGTGATTCTATTGTTGTGGCACCAAGTCAGACGCTGTCCAACAGAGAGTACCACATGCTGAGAGAAACTGCACTCAAAGTAACTAAACCATGTTTAAAATTATTCTTAGTTAGTTAATTGAGCGATCATCCTTATCGCATAGCAGACAAGTCCACAAGCACTTGCCAGCAAACCGACCCACTCAGAAAGCATATGGGGAAAAAATTTGTGTCTCTAGCCATGTCACTGATTTTGTTACTGCCATACACCTTTATAGTCAAAAGCACCTATGTCTGCCTTTACAGTTCTCCCTCCAATGGAAACAGTGAAAGCCCATGAGCTTCCCCTTCTTTTCCTTTTCTTTCTCATCTTCCTCTATAGCATCTTGTCTTATGAATCCACATCAATACTTCTATCATTTATGTCCACTTGCACACGTTTATGTTGTATCAGAGACCAACCCCGGTATATTCTGCCCATGTGTCTTTATGGACTCAACTCCTCTTAGTCTTATTGCTGCCTATCTTCTTCTGCTTATTTTTATTTTCTTACTATCCCCTCTTTTTTCTTATTGTCCTTTCTTCATCCTTGAGCATCAGACCTACGTACATACTTCTAAATATCAGAGGTCATGTGTGCCAGAAATATTAACAGTTATTGTTATTTCATTGAACAGGTTGTTCGCCACTTTGGAATTGTGGGAGAATGCAACATTCAGTATGCTCTTCATCCAGAATCCTTAGAATACTGCATCATTGAAATTAATGCCAGATTGTCCAGAAGTTCTGCTTTGGCTTCTAAAGCCACAGGGTAAGCAGTATCTGGTATACATTAGCTTTATGTATTAACAGTGTTACAGCATGAATGGCATACATTCGTTGGTGTCATGTTACATGTTATGTTGTCACAGTTGATGTCATAGCAGATTGTCAATCCCATATGTGCTCAGTCCTCTGTTGCAGCAGCCACTCTAAGGTTGATTGTTCCCATAAGAAGTCGTTTGTATTGTCTTCATTGTACACCACCAGTCTTCTGCCTACATGAAATGGTGCATTGTTTGCCTGTTTGTCTGTTGATTCATGAACCCTTACTCCAGATGTGTAGATCCAGATGAGAAAGCTTAAGTTTGACCTAATGCTGTTTGCTCTGTGTTGCAATTTTCTGAAGCATGTTAGTAGAACCTGATGATTACAACATGTTTGGCTACTTGTTCTGCTGCATATGTGATGCTTTGGAGGTGGCAGTTATTTTCATAGTCTTGCTTGAGTTAGTTGCCTGGTAAGTGCCACTATACTCTTTTATTGTTGTTTCCATCATTAACGCTGTGTAGATCATAATGTCTTCTGGACTGGCATGTTAATCTGTCAATGCCCTTATCTCACTGATTACCCAGTAGCAATCTAGTTTCTTGCAGTGCCTCCCCAGTGTGATAACTATTTTAGAATAGTTATACATGTCTGCTGGTGTATCCATCGATTCTTGTCCTTGTCGGCAGTCTTCCAGGTCACATACCTGCTGGACTGAGTCTTCAGCCTCGGCCATCCAGGAGTGGCCATGTTTAAGATGCACTCTTTTTATGTCATTGATAGTGGTGTGCAGTGGGTGGTTAGCATCTGCCAAAACTCATGCACACCTTGACCTGTGCAACTTTGATGGAGATAGCTGTAAACCCAAGACATGTCGCATGAAATGTCAGGAAGTGACTATTGTGCATTCGATTGTGAGTCTCATTTTGCACCTGGTCCAGTCCTTCCAGCAAGATTCTGCTGACAATGAGAAGACAGGATCATATTTCATGACACTAACACAAGGAATATTTACATTTATGGCCCATCTCAGACTGTGACTGTCGTATGTTTACTTTGAAAATTTGCACTTAAATGTTAAATTCTTAGTGTTTGATGATTTGTTTTCATTGTTAGCATTCAAATGTTTTGGTTGTTACAAGTTAGTTGTCAGCATTCACAGTTCTTGATGAGAAGATGTAAGAATGTTTCTCAGATTTCAGTAAATAAACACAGCATTATGGTCTGATGTGTTCATTATTTTTGTTATGTTTCTTATTCGACCTATGTTTGGTTAATATAAATTTCTGTAACCTGTGGTGTTATTTCAGTGGTTTGAGACAAATTCAGGTCATATTCTATAGTTGTGGATTTCAAGCTGTACAATAGATATGGTCAGTGAAGACACCTTATTTGAGGTGGCTAGTTGGTCATGTATATTAGTACACTTGTTTTCATAGCGAGGCACACATGCCATTTAGAGGTGACAGGTTCAATTCCTGGCACGTTAACTATGGCTTTCAATTTTTTATGTTATCTAGTGTGTCCTTGTATCTCTCTACCTCTTTCTGTGAGTGCTAATCAATACATTAGCTGTTTATTATGTATCAGATTTCAGTAATATTTTTTATGAATTAATCTTTTGTTTGTGTGTGTGTGTCATTTGGTTATGGTGTCTGCTTAGTCTTATTGATTATATTCTGGAGTGAACCATGATTATGTGTCGGAAAAAAATATAAAATATCTAATTACCTTCTGTATAATTATTTCAGATATCCTTTAGCATTTGTAGCTGCCAAACTGGCCCTGGGTAAGGATCTGCCAGGATTAGTCAATTCGACAACCCAAATGACCAGTGCCTGTTTTGAGCCCAGTTTGGACTACATTGTCACCAAAATTCCCCGATGGGACTTGGACAGATTTCAGTACACCAGCAGAGATATCGGCAGTTCAATGAAAAGTGTTGGAGAGGTAATTGCATTTGAAGAAATATACTGAAATTTTGGTAGTTATGGAATGAATGACTTGAGAATGTGTGCTTGTTATTTTGATGCTATTAGTAACCAAATATAGGGATCAGATGTGAGCTTCCAAAAATATAGTGGTAGGACCTACTTAAAACACCTGCAGTAGTGCGGAGGCTAGCAAGATGCCTGTTTGTCCTGTGGTCACAGGTTCAGATCTTTGTTTTAAAAAGCCACCTAAGCTAATGTACTGACCTAGTCTAAAATCATCATCCTCGTCATCATTATGTCTTGCTGTTATCATGACAAAGCTGTCAGCGTAATCTTCCATTTTAGTATATCCAAATAATATTGTTGTTTCTTCATAACTTTAATAAATATGTGTTTTCCCATGGTCTTAGGTGACCCCTGTGAAAGGGTCGTTCGACCAAAAAAAAAAAAAAAAAGTAGGTTAAGAACCGCTGTTCTAGAGTCCATTCCTTCTCACAAACTGATAGACTGCGTTGATTTTAAAAATCTCTTTAATGGTTTTTATGTGTCTTGAGGGGGACCACCTGATCTGTTTTTTCTAACATCCATTGCCAGGTGATGTTAACGATAATTCTCTCTGATGTCACGTCTGTGCCACACATACAAGACTATTGCATGTGTAAATTGAAGCAGAAACTATTATTTGAACATTTTGAATTAAGAATTGACATCACAGCACTTGGGACCTCCTATAAGCGTTCTGTCCCCATCTTCAGCGGCAAGTGAAGAGTTTCAATTCCGAGGGCACCAGTAACTGTCTGATTGTAAATCCGTCTCGCCTTCCCCCTCTTGTATATTTGATATTAAACTATTTATCCAGTATAAGTTATGCCTTCTTCTTTACGTCCTCTTTTACCGCTTTGGGTGTCGAGGGAGATATAAGATCCTGCTTCATGCTGTTCTGGCTGCTTCAACCATAGACACTACCTTGTGCTGTAGAGTTTCTCTGATGTTATCTTCCCATTTGTTCTTGGTCTACCTCTTGCTATACATCCTTCTCCTCTTTTGGTACATCTCTTGTATGGTATAGCATCAGGAGGCATTCTCTCCAGGTGGGAAAACCATTTGATTTGCTTTCTTTGTATGTAATTTAGAATTGGTTCTGTGCCGACTTATATCTCGTATGACCTCATTCCTGATTTGATCTTTTCTGGTCACTCCTACTGCCTTTGTCAGACACCTCATTTCCATGGTTACTAATTTTCTTTTATGTTTTGTTGTGAGTGACCTTGTCTGGCACTGATAGCATAGGGTGAGAATTAATATTCTTTGTATGTGATGTCTCTTTGTGCTGGTTGGGATTGGCTATGCTGTAAGAGGAGGGCTCGCTGTCCCAATACTTGGCCTGCTTCACTGCATCGGATGACAATTTCTTCGTCTAATTTACTATCTTCAGTGAATGTTGTTCCAAGATATTTAAACTCACATGCCTGTCTAATATATGTTTGCTCTAATGCTATGTTTAAATCCTGCTTCTTTCTTTCTATTGACATTATTTCTCTCTTTTCAATGTTGATTCTTATATTATTTGATTTACATTCTTCATTCATGGATGTGAGATGCTGTTGCAAATTCATGGCTGTATCTGCAGTCGAAGCCTAGTCATCAGCAAAGTGTAATTCGTTGATGTTACTATTATTTTATAATTTATGTACTTGCAGGTAATGGCTATAGGTCGAACATTTGAAGAGAGCCTACAGAAAGCGTTAAGGATGACACATCCATCAGTTGCAGGATTCTCTGCGACCCTGCCAGCAGGCAAAGACTACCCAGATACTTTTAACATTGATGACAATCTGAGAGTTCCCAACAACATTCGAATCCACACCATTGCCAAGGTAAACATGTTCAATCTTTACTTAAAGGTGACAGAGCTTAGTGAATAAACTGTCTGCGGTTTGCTTCTCTGTTGGTTCCAGTGAATGCATGTTTCTTGTTTGTAGTAACTGTTTTAGTTATTCTCTATATGGCTGGGTCATATAGCTCTTTTTTTTTTTTTAAATTACCCCTTATAGTTATTAATATTACCTTTCCTTTGGAGTAAACAAAGTAGACAGAGAGAGGGATGGTGCTGCATGGGCAGCACAGGGTCTTTACAATACTGCCTAACCTTAGTGCTGTTGAGACGGCGTGATGCTGACCACATCACCCACTGAGTGCCGATTGATTTATAAAATTAGGTCTAGCCCTATATGCCCAATACGGTCAGCTCTCGATACCACCATCGAAATAATGCAAGGTGGTCTGCTACCAAATCATATACAGCTAGGATCAAACCTTGCACCTGTAATTATGAAGCACATGCAAAACACCGGATCAACAAGTGCAAACTTGATTAAATAAATTCCACATTAAATATGATAAGGTGCATATTGCAGGAAAAGAAAAGAAACACTAATAAAATCGGTATGGTGAACAGCCATATAAAGGAAATAGGAAAGACAGACAAACATCTTCTTCTTTTTCTTCTTCTGTTCCTCTTGTTACGGCATCATTGTTGGGAGGAGATGTAAAAATCTTCTATGCAGTATTTGTTAATGCATTTCTTTAAGTCTGTAATTCCATCATTTTCATGGTCTTTCCCTTGCTCTGTGTTCATTATATTGTTTTTATTATGCCAGTTTGTACCATGGCATTTTCATCATAAAATCTAATCAACATTGACACAGAAAATAGAAGGAAGATAATAAGAGAGGTATGATAGAAGTCTGGGAACAGCAGGGAAACAACATAGAGAGGGCGGAAATAAAACAATATGGTGAAGTGGATGCTGTGGCTGCAAATTCCTCACCAGAAATTAAGTTTCCTGCTCCTTGTCAAATTTGATGTTGTATCTATGCAGTTCTCACTGAGGAGACTTGCGGTTCTAACATTGATAGGGAATGGATGACGGTTGAGAACTTGGCCATTGTTGACCGTTCTCATTGCCTTTTCTCCTCCAGTTTTGATGTTGCAAGATTGTGGAAGTCCCGTTTGCAGCCGGAGCTACTGAGTTTAGTGCTCCTGGCGGGATTATCAGCTGTAATTTTCAGTTTTTGACTGACTTCCAGATTTGTACATAATGGCAATGATGGGTGATGTATTTTTCTTCGTTGTGTTCCTGGAGCAAGGCGTGTGCTACAGCTGCTATTTATTTGCTGGCTATTGCTGCAACTTGGCCGAGGACATGTGGAGAATAGTCAGGAAAAGTTTTAATCTCCTCATTGCCCAGCTATTCGTCGAATGAAGTTGATTTTCAATGATGATGCCTGGTCTCGCAGTTTGTTTAAGGAGGCATGCACCTTATGCTTTGCCAGATCAAATCATGTGTGTTCTGCTGACTGAGGACACTTTTTATGGCTAGAGAATTCACTTGAAGATCCAGCGTATCTGACTCAGTTTAGGACTGGAATCGCTGGCATAGGCGGTTAAGCAATTATGGGCCAAGCTCGTTTGCTGTGATGCTGGAACCGTAACAACTAACTAACTGAGGAGAACGCCCTGGTACCATTTACCATGGAGAGCACAATGCTGAAGAAGTATAATAAACAGAGTAAATGTATAGGATTGGTCATGAACCTCCTATATGCTGTTAGCTGAGACTGTTTTAGACAGACAAGTGGTTGTATACCACTCCGGTCATGAACCTCTTATATGCTGTTAGCTGAGACTGTTTTAGACAGACAAGTGGTTGTATACCACTCTGGTCATGAACCTCCTATATGCTGTTAGCTAAGACTGTTTTAGACAGACAAGTGGTTGTATAACACTCTGGTCATGAACCTCTTATATGCTGTTAGCTGAGACTGTTTTAGACAGACAAGTGGTTGTATAACACTCTGGTCATGAACCTCCTATATGCTGTTAGCTAAGACTGTTTTAGACAGACAAGTGGTTGTATACCACTCCGGTCATGAACCTCTTATATGCTGTTAGCTGAGACTGTTTTAGACAGACAAGTGGTTGTATACCACTCCGGTCATGAACCTCCTATATGCTGTTAGCTGAGACTGTTTTAGACAGACAAGTGGTTGTATAACACTCCGGTCATGAACCTCTTATATGCTGTTAGCTGAGACTGTTTTAGACAGACAAGTGGTTGTATAACACTCCGGTCATGAACCTCTTATATGCTGTTAGCTAAGACTGTTTTAGACAGATAAATGGTTGTATAACACTCCGGTCATGAACCTCTTATATGCTGTTAGCTGAGACTGTTTTAGACAGATAAATGGTTGTATAACACTCTGGTCATGAACCTCCTGTCAATGTGCTGTTAGCTAAGACTGTTTTAGACAGATAAATGGTTGTATAACACTCCGGTCATGAACCTCCTATATGCTGTTAGCTAAGACTGTTTTAGACAGATAAATGGTTGTATAACACTCCGGTCATGAACCTCCTATATGCTGTTAGCTAAGACTGTTTTAGACAGATAAATGGTTGTATAACACTCCTGTCATGAACCTCCTGTTGATGTCCTGTTAGCTAAGACTGTATTCTTCTCTGCAGGCATTCCATGCTGGCTACACCGTGGATGATGTGTACAAGTTGACCAAAATTGATAAATGGTTCTTGTATAAACTGAAACACTTGTGTCAGGTGGAAAATCTGCTCAAGCAAACTCCCAGGTGAGCTTTCATAACTTTTTGTTTGAAAATTTGGCTCTGGGTGTAGTAAGCTCCTACACTGTTTAGTTACTATAGAAGGATGCCTCTTTTTCTGAGTTTGCTTCTTCGGTGCCTGTACCTAAACTTTGTCTACCAAGGCAAATCTAGTCACAAATATTTTTGGCTAACTTTATGCTTCCAGTGTTAAATCCTTACTACAACTGTGAGCACAAAATGATGGGTCTAATAGGGTGTCATATAAATTACAACAACTACTGATCTAGCTGTATCAAGAGCATCTGTAGATATATCCTGACATTAACCTGAATATGATATGGGGGGGGGGGGGGGGGGGTGGGGGGGGGGGGGGTCATACAGATCACAGCAGATTATTTCAGAGAAAAATCTTAATATTAGCACTGTGCAGTTTTGTGTAGTCAGTTGCAGTAAATTTTCTGGTCAGCTCATTAGATCAAAGAAATAACTTATTTGATTTGCACCTAAAAAAGGGTTGAGTTGAGTTCATTCAACAGCTGACATCACAGCACTTTGGACATTCCAGTCTTTGAGTTCAACAATCAGCAAATAGTTCTGATTATACGTCCATCTTGCCTTTCCTCGGGGTGTATTTCTTTTGATTTTCACTGGCACAGGAATTGAGCAAGTATGGGGTGACCCGACTGCAGTGCAGTTGAAACCCCAGCTACAACTATGACTACACAGTTTATAATGTCATCCAGATCCCTTGATTGCTCCACACTGTGCCATTCTCTCTCTCTGCACCACATGATGATCTGTTTGCACCTCCTCAGTGTTTACTTGTTTCTAGAGGGCCTTGACCGTGTCTACTTTGTCAGGCATCAAGTCAGCACAGCACTCTGTAGTGCAACACCTGCCAGTCTGTCTGCCCAGAAGAGATAAGAAAGAAGTAGAAAACAAAAACGAGTTACTAATCACACCCTAAAACCAGTCCTGTAATAGTATGTGAGCTGGCTATTTTAACAATCAAGCTTTAAAAAAAAAAAAGAAATGCAGCCAGACCTAACTTCTACAGCAGAACATCTAAACTAAAGTTAAGGGGACCACCAAGGAGAGAAGAAAAAATAATATTATAACCAAATCCTACACACATGCACACACACACACACACTTCACACACCCTTCCCCAATATGAAGAAATTAATTCCTTAAGCTTCTAAAGTGCAAGACAAATACAAAAAACCATGGCATTGGGTTACAGCTTCATCTAATGACATAAAGAAGAATGTATAGTCCATCATAATTATAAAAAAATAGAAATATGAGGCATTTATGTTTTTGTGTCTCATTTCAGAGATAATAATTCAGAGGCTTTAAAAATGGCCAAAGAGAAAGGATTTTCTGACCGACAAATTGCCAAAATGTGGAACCTTTCTGAAATGGACATTCGCAAAAGGAGACATGAACTGGACATTCGACCCTGGGTCAAACAGGTAATTACAATTGTTTGGGTAATACTCTCTTCTTCTTCCATGTTCTGTTAACATCGTTTCCATTCTATTCTGAACCATTCAACTATTTTCCCACAATTCTAATCGAACCATTTACTTTTTCTTTGTATTCCATATGATCATTGGAAATGAGGTTTTTTCTGAAAGCTCCTGTGTATTCAGAGACTACATCAGAAATGGCGAAAGTTGCCATATCATTGCTTGGCATATTGGCACCTATGAACCTCTTTCGACTTTAGCAAAAAAATGGAAAATGCAGATACATAAGTTGTAACAAGATCTGTCGCCCTATCCAGAACGATACTACAGGGCTCTGCAGGGGAAGGAGGAGAAGAGTCACACACATGAAGACCTGGATACAGAATTTGGCTGAATGGACAGGCCTCAAGCAAGCTAAAATCAAGTCTGTTGCATCTGATCAACAGAGATGGAGGAATCTGATCAGTCAACAGCCGCTGATGGCCCAATGACATATTGTGGTTTATGGTATGATGATGGTTTCAAATTGAAAAATTTACTTGTTCTGCTATATTTTTTTTTAGATACTTGCATCTTCTACTTTTACATTCTATATTACTATTTTTCTCTTAGCCCTTTCTTGAGCCATTTACTCTTAAAGTAACAAGTGAAACAAAACAGTCATGATAGAGATAACTTTCTTCACCTTGATGAGGGAGAGAAACATAAATTTTTTTTTTCCATTATATCTAAGTAAGAGGAGTTTGGAGGCAACTGAAATGAGGTTCTTGAGAAGAATGTTGCGAATACCTTGGACTGCCGGAATAACTAACAATGATTGTCTGGAAATGGCTAATAAAAGCAGAACATTATATACAACAATGAGAAGGAGAAAAACAAAGTTCTTTGGTCATGTGATGACAAAAGGATTACTGGAAAATATCGTGACGACTGGAAAGATCACTGGTAGAAGAGGCAGAGGCAGTTGAAGAGAAATTATGGTGGATGGCTTGAGATAGTGACATGGAGGAATATCATCAGTGGAATTGATCAAGAACACCAAAGACCGAGATCTGTGGTGACGCATGAACGCCTACACCAGCTGGCGAGGCACTTGATCATGATGATTATTATTATATCTACTTTTTAAACTTGGAACTTAAATTTTGAAATCATAATTTCAATATCATGTATTCTTCTAATGTTTGAAGAAACAATTTCAATGTCCTGTACTCTTCGTCTCCTCTTCCTCCTACCCCTTTTTCTTCTCCCTCTTCTTAGCTGATGAAAACTTTATTCACACAATTTATTGTCTACAATTTACTTAGTGATAAGAAAAAAATTAAAAACTTATGCTTTTGTCTTTTGTTATGAAGATTGATACGATGGCGGCAGAATATCCAGCACGGACCAACTACCTTTACTACACATACAATGGCTTGGTATGTTTTCCCCTTTTGTTGTTTGTTTGTTTGTTATTGTGTCAGAAGTTACCATACAATTTAGTTACATACAAAGGCAGCAAATAAAATGGTTTACCCACTTAGAGAGAGTGGCTTGTAATGCCATATCATACAAGGTAAATACCAAAAGAGAGGGATGTAGAGCATGAGATAAATTAAGAGCAAGATGGAAAGATTTGATTTGATTCAAGAACCGACATCACAGCACTCAGAGCATTCCCATAAGCGCTCCGTCCTCATCTTCAGCAGCCAGCGAAGAGTTCCGATACTAATGGTGCCAGTAGCATTCTGATTGAATGTCCGTCTTGCCTTTCCTCTGAGCCTCGAGCATCTGCCAGAACCTCTCGTCACACCCAACTGCATCAATCTCACCAGACTGTGGTGATCCATCTGCTCCTCCGAATTGTACATGCTCTTTCACAAGGCACTAACCACGTCTGCCTTATTATGTATCAGTATTCCACCAAGTTGTGCAGAGCCAGCCAGTCTGTCCGCCTGTTCATTTCCCTACACACCGGTGTGACCCGGTGAAAAAATCCAGACTATACTCACTCGTGTCCTCCGCAGCGAAGCATGCCACTCTGCATGAAACATACCTGTTCTGATCTTCCTCAGCATGCTTTCTGAATCAATTACAATCACGATGTGTGTGTCGTGTTCTCTAGCCAGCGGAAAGCTGCAGTGACCCCCTTCACCTCCATTCTTAAGCTGGATGTTGTGGTATCATATGCTAGGCTCTCCTGCACCACACATCGACCATTAACTTTTGCTAAGAAGACCCAATCACTTCTTTTGCCTCTTGACACTGAACCGTCTGTGTAATTGATCAAATCCTCTGAGCGAGCATTATCTTAAATTATTGCTGAATTTCCACCTCTGTGGCACCTGCTGGCCAGTCTCTGCATTCCCGGCTCAGCGTGATTATGACTCTACACAAGTCTGACTGTTCAGGTGGCACTTTGACCCACTCCTCTCCTCGCCTAATGTTCTCAAGGATGCAACCTGTTCTGATTGTGTCTTCTGCGTGAGCCATCCATGACCTCCCTCTTATCAGCCGCTGACCTTTAACTGCACCCAGAGCTTCATGCAGAGGGTGGTTTGTGTCTGCAGCTACCCTGAGATATGACTTTGCCTGCAGCACCTTGTGCCTACCTGCAACAGTCAGTAAACCAAGGATGTATAGCATACACGCTACTGGGGTGTCTCTGGTGTAACCCAGAATGACCCGCATAGCCGCATTCTGTATGCGTTCTAGTTTGTCCATCTGACTCTTTAAGACGGTAAGCAGTTCCAGACTATAATCCACCACTGACAGGATCAGGTGCTGATATAGTGTGAAAAGCATTCTCTGCTCTATGTCAATGGCAGCCATAGTCTTAAGTGTACTAAGTCCTTTTTGGCATTTCGTCACAATGGAAAGATAATATTAGAGAAATCTATAACAGTACAGTGTATCCTTGGTTGATGTGGCTAGAAGAGCAAGAACCAGAACCCTTTTATCTCCCTCAAACCTGAAGCAGAAAAGGATGAAGTAGTGAAAAAGAAGAAGAAGATTGTTACCCAAATCTCTGATGTAGTCATGTGTAACTTTAGACTATGCCAGAATTCTCTGAAGCACAACTTATTCACTGCAATGATTTGCAAGATTGAAATAACCTCTCTGTAGGGGGATATCTAATATTCCTTTGATGAGTCATATAAAAACTGTAAAAGAGAAGTTGAATGTAATGAGTAAATCATTATGTAATCAGTAAATCATTATGGAAATGTTCTGCAGCAAAATACAATTAAAAACTTAGTGACAGCTGACAAATGTTATGATGAAGGAGCAAGCTTAAGACAAAGAGATAAATACCTGAATGGCTGTGGTCTTTATCAGTGTCTTTTCTTTTCTCTTTATTCAGCTTTCTAGTCAGTCTATGTTTTGTTTAGTTACTTTTTGTGAAGATGCGCGTGTGCAACAATAACATTGCAAGTGAAGGCCTTTTCTTACAAGTATATGATGTTAAAATCATATTCTATAGATGAATCGGCACTCAGTGGGTGATGTAGTCAACATCGTGCAATCCTCCTTTACTTCCCAGGACATTTTCTAAATCCGTTTAAGGCTGTGGGAACCTGACAGGTATTAAAAATCTGGTTAGGTACCAGCAAGAAAATCAGTGTTAGGCTTCTAAGTTTTTTCTTCTGAAAGTGCTTTGCTAATGCAGTTTCCACATATGGACGGTAGTCTATGATTTCACGGCTTGAGCTACTGAGTTTAGTGCTTGGTACAACCCTGCGAGCTGTGTTTTTCCTGTGGAATACATTTCATTTGTGCAGCGTTTGTGTCAGGGTATTCAGTATGTTTGAAATCCGGATCACTTACTAACATAAGCAGAGGCATTAATTCTACTAACTGTCCTTGCAAATTCAGTGTAATCTTCAAATCACATGACCCGTGAAGGCCTTAAACACCATGCTCCTGTGCATATTGTAGTTGGCATTTTAATTTTTTGATGCTGTTTGTTACACAAGGAAGCTATTATTATTTAGGCCTGTATCAATGTGAAAAAATCAGTTTTTTGCCTAATGTTCTTAAACTGTCTTGATAATTTAAAATATCGGGGTGTGCAGGTGTGTTGGGAAATGTACAGGCAGATGGACTGGCTGGTTCTGCACCACCTGGTGGTGAACTGATGCATGACAAGCTAGATTTTGTCAGAACACTTTTGGAGTGAGCGAACAGTGCGTTAGCAAACATGGGTCATCATGGTTTCAAGAGAATGGTTGAACTAGGAGCTGCCAGGGGATCTGGTCAGATCTGATCACTCAGGAGCAAGGCGGCGCAGATATACAGTCAGACTTTTACTGGTACCATCAAACTTTAAACTGCATTTGGTGCTGTAGATTGGGACGAATTGCATATGGGGTTGTTCTGAGTACTATGATGTCAGTCTTAACACATTTTACTCACCTTACTCATCTTAACTTGATTGTCAATACGTTTATTTTTCAGGAACATGATATAGATTTTAACAGCCATGGGGTTATGGTTCTTGGATGTGGACCATATCACATCGGCAGCTCTGTAGAGTTTGACTGGTGTGCTGTGTCATGTATAAGAGCTTTGCGGCAGATGGGCCATCAAACAGTATGTTATATTCAGTGTGTTTCAGTTGCATAAGACGTTCTTTACCCTGTCTGCTTTAATGGTTTCTTTAGGACAAGTGTTACTTGTCCTGTCCAAGGCAGTTTATTCTTTTTCTGCTTTTCTCCAGTTAAAACACTGAAGTTTGGTTGAGGAGGGATGTATTGTTCTTATATGTGCGTTTTCTACTGCATTACATAAGCCAATAATTTCTTTAAGGCTTATCTTGATCCTGTTTATTTTTTTAATGTGGTCTTTCTTTTGCTCAGTGCTCATCATATTTCTTCACACTGGCTCTCTCTGGTAGTTGGTATCAAGTCATTCTTGTCAGATGCCCAATTTATCTCATCCTTGCTCTTTAATAAAATGTTTGACTGCTCCAATCCTAACCTTCTTCTAAGTTAAAATTTTTTTTTTTTTTAACTTTTATCTCTTCTTGATAATCTCATATGTCTTGAAAAACATATATCTCTGTTGTGGCTTTTATGCTCATTAGTTGAAGTTATGGTCCATATTTGACACTGGTAGCATACAATTGACCAAACAATAGTTATTATTTGATTTTTCTTGGTGGAGAAAGTTATCCCTCCATTTATTAGTGGTGTTAGTTGTCACAGTGCATGATTTGCTTTTGTTCACTGTATGTTTATTTCTCTTTCCATTCTTCCTTACTTGAAATGAATCAATGTTGCCTCTAAAAGAGTTAATCAACTCATGCCAGTCTGCACTATCTATTGCCATCTCTTGCAATACCCTCCATGCCCTCTTAAAAATTATTCAACAGTACTTCTTATTGACTGTTCCATGTACTTTTAGGTTTCCTTCTGTTTGTTTTTTCCTGTGATAATGGAGACTTAGATGTACGGTCAGGTTTCCTTATTCGTGTAACCAGCACTGTATTTTCCTCACCTTTTGATTCACTACAAAATGTTTATTTCTCTCCAACTGCTCTGTATTAGTTCATTTAGTGAGCCACTTGTTTTGCATAAGCATGAATTATTGAATGTTAGCAATTGGGAAATGATACTTATAATGAAAGTTGTTCCCATGTGGGATGCAATTTTTTTCTATTTGAAGCACCACCATGGCTTTTTGCTGGGGGCTCTGAATATAGCCGGGACTCCTTGTTCCAGATTAACTGAGAAGCAGAAATTCAGTCCTCTCAACTCATTAGAATACAGCCACAACTATCAGCACACACACTGCACCTGAAGAGATCTGATGTGAAAGCACGAAGGTAGCCATGGAGAACATGCACCGAGATATCAAAGAAATTCTGTTCCTTTAACAGTGGATCACAAACTGTTTCTCCCCAAAACGGCTAACAGCGGTAGTGGATGATGATGATAAGAATTGCTTCAGTCATTCTCAATATTTTTGCTCTACAGAGCATTCTGAAATATTCTATGTTTATTGCCAGTTTTAATTTCTGTAGGCTTACACATATGTTCCTAGTGCTGTGAAATCAACATGAGATTCATGTGTAAAATTCTGACAGGTTGTTGTCAATCACAACCCAGAAACAGTCAGCACAGATTTTGACGAGTGTGATCGCTTGTATTTTGAAGAGCTCTCCCTGGAAAGAGTGCTGGATATTTACGAGAATGAGGTGAGTTTCTGGAGTTTTTCAAGTTTACTGCCAATTACTGCCCGTATTTACCACTTTTGCAGTGTAGGCAGAGTGTCTTTGAGCCTGATGATTTTGGGCCGCATGGCTAGTGCTGTCACCACCGACTGTGCATGTTAGAATTTTGTGCGGAGACCCCTGCCAGAAGAAATCTATGGCCTTACCAGGGATTCAGAACTGAGTCTCGTGCATGATAAGCAGTGTTCTTAACTGTTCGACCAGCCGCTTCTCTTCGAGTTTACTGATTGTTAGAAAGTTAAATTTTATTTTTATTATTTTCCCTGAAAGACTGCAACATGTAGGTTTGACACCCATGACTTAGAGAGCTAAATTTCGGATGCCAGTCTAACAAGAACAAATCTTAGATACCCTATTCACCAGTATAAACTGAACTGTCTTTACTGACTATTTTTGGCACTCTTTTAAGGGTTGTCTATGACAGGACGCAAAGAAGTAGAAGAAGAGTCAGCCATTGGCTACACCAAGTCTTGCCTTGGCCTAGCCTGCCTGCTGTTCTCTTTGGCTATAGACTAATTAATGATTGTAGAAGCTTGCCGCACAATTTTCACACGTCTGACTTTTCAGGTGGGTCTTTGACCCACTCCTCTCCTCACCTAATATTCTTAAGGATGCAAACCTTCTGATTGTGTCTTCTGCCTGAGCCATCCATGACTTCCTTCTTATCAGCTGCTGACCTTTAACTGCACCCAGAGCTTCATGCAGAGGGTGGTCTGTGTCTGCAGCTACCCTGAGATATGACTTCGCCTGCATCACCTTGTGCCTACCTGCAACAGTCGGCAAACCAAGGATGTATTGCATACACACTACTGGTGTGTCTCTGGTGCAACCCAAAATGACCCGCATAGCTGCATTCTGTATGCGCTCTAGTTTGTCCGTGAATGTGTTCCGCTAAGTTATACTTTTTTCCTCTCGTATCATCATCATCATGCAGCGTGCTGATAAGCTTAGGCTGTCATGATTTGCCTTCTTACACAATCATCAACATCATAGATAAGGTCACTCTTTGTGTCTCACCCCATTCATATGAGTAAGTCATCCCAGTGTTTCTTTGCCTTCTTCTTGTCCCCTATCCACCAGTCTTGCTTGTCATTACCAAGCTCTCGAGTTTGTTTCTTCTGATATCATGTGCCTCCCCCCCCCCCCTACCTTTATATGCTTCTCTAACCAAAGTCTGCCTCATCTTTTTTTTTTTTCATTCCATGATTTTTTTTTTTTACACCAGCTGAATTTTACATTCTTCTTTTTTCTTTTATTGTTTACCAGCAATGCAAAGGTGCCATCGTATCAGTTGGAGGTCAGATCCCCAACAACCTTGCCCTTCCTCTGTATAAAAATGGTGTCAAGGTCTTAGGAACCAGCCCCAATATGATTGACAATGCAGAAAATCGGAGTGTGTTCTCCGCAATTTGCGATGATTTAAAAATCAAACAGCCAGAATGGAGAGCAGTTTCATCGATGGTAAGTCTTAGAGAATATTTCATAAAGTTAAGTAGCTTCTTCTTCTTCTTTTTGTCATCCAAGTTAGTTGTGCCTGTTTGAAGCAGAGTAACTCCTGAGTCATATTACAAATGGCCTTAACTTTCTCCAACACCTGTGATTAAAATCACAGCGCCACAAGTAAAGTATCTAATAGTGAGAAATGTAAGAAGGAAAGCAGAAAGAAAAAGAACATTAACTTTCTGTTGATGAAATCAGAGGAGAGTACAAATTCTAGCAAGCAACCTCTTTAGCGGCAGTCTGGGCAGGTGATCTTTATTCTTCAACCTGTTGATGATGGTGATGCTAATAATTTAATCAGGAAAAAGTGTGGCTGGTTTGGCACCATTGGGTGGGGAATGTATGTATGACAAGCTAGATGTGGTCAAGGCCCTTTGAGAGCAAGTGGACAATGCTAGGGCACAAATAGATCATTAAGGTCTGGAGAAGATCATACAGCTGGGAGTGACACTCAGAGGAAAGGCAAGCAAGATGGACATATAATCCAACTGTTGCTGGTATCATGAGAATTTGAACTCTTTGCTGGCTGCTTAAGTTGGATATGGAGTGTTTATAGGAGTGCCAGAGTGATGATGACAGATTTTAGCTCAACAGTTAACAGTGAATAATTTTAAGGACAGATAATAATGGAGCCTCTACTAAGTGGTTTATACCAGTTCATCTGAAGGGGGAAAAACTATTTATTTAATAAGGAACTAATGGTGTCAGTGCACAGATAAAGGAAATTATATTGATTTTCCCCTTTTGCGTTCTGGGACCCTGTTTTGATGCAGAAAAAAATTAGAACCTACTGGCCCTCTAAGAGGCAATTCAAAAAAAGATGACAGACTATGGGTTTGCTGAAATCAGATGTGTTGGACCAGAAGGTACAGATAATGCAGCCTAGCTGTAAACCATAACACACGATTCCAACACAGAAGAAAAATAGAGTGATATACTCAGAAATTAATGTGCGGTGTGATATGCAGAAAGGAGCAAACAGTATTATGATGTGTTCAGAAAATAACAAACAACATTGTAGTATACATAGAAAATAACAATTGATATTGTGTGAATAAAATGTGGTATGATGTGTACAGAAAGGAGCAAACAGTATTAAGATGTGCTGAGAAAATAACAAATAACATTATGGTGTACATAGAAAAGAACAATTGGTATTGCAGTGTGTGTAGAAAGTGTGTGTTGTATTGTGCATATAAAAGAACAATTGGTATTGCAGTGTGCATAGGTAAGAACAAATGAAATTGCAGTGTGTGTGCAGAAAAGAACAGATGGTGTTGCAGTGTGCATAGAAAAAGAACAAATGGCATTGCATTGTGTAGGAAAAAATACACCTGAAAAATTTGTTCAGAAAGTGAACTTGGTCCAGAAGGATTAAGTATGAAAACTATAATGCTGAAGATCAAACCAATTTTTTACAAAACCTCATGTCATTTCAGGAAGAAGCCATTGATTTTGCAGCTTCTGTTGGCTATCCTTGTTTATTGCGGCCATCTTACATCCTTTCAGGTAAGAGCTGTCTTATATGTTAAGCATTTTGTGCAGTTCATTTATCTTTGTGCAGTTCATTCATCTTTGTGCAGTTCATTCATCTTTGTGCAATTCATTCATCTTTGTGCAGTTCTTTCATCTTTGTGCAGTTCTTTCATCTTTGTGCAGTTCTTTCATCTTTGTGCAGTTCATTCATCTTTGTGCAGTTCATTCATCTTTTCGCTGTTCATTCATCTTTTTGCAGTTCATTCATCTTTGTGCAGTTCATTTATTTTTGTGTAGTTCATTCATCTTTGTGTGGTTCATTCATCTGTGTGCAGTTCATTCATCTGTATGCAGTTCATTCATCTTTATGTAGTTCATTCATCTGTGTGTAGTTCATTCATCTTTGTGTAGTTCATTTATCTTTGTGCAGTTCATTAATCTTTGTGCAGTTCATTAATCTTTCTGCAGTTCATTCATCTTTCTGCAGTTCATTCATCTTTCTGTTGAAAGTTGAATTAAGAATTGACATTACAGCACTTGGGACACTCCCATAAGTGCTCGGTCCCCATCTTCAGCAGCAAGTGAGGAGTTCCCCAATTCCGATGTCTGATTGTATATCTGTTGCGCCCTTCCGTTGAGTGTGAGCCAAATTCCCTTGTAACTCACTGCTGCGCCATTCTTCTCAAAATGTAATGATCTATCTGCTCCTCCGCACTCTTCACTCGCTCCCAAAGGGCCCCCACAACATCTAGTTTGCTATACATCATTCACCACCAAGTGGTGCAGAGCCAGCCAGTCTATCTGTCTGCTCATTTCCCAAAACACTGACACAACCTGGAAAAAATATTCAAAGGATGCTAACTACTCGGGACCTCTGATATGATGCTTGCCACTTTGCATGGAGCAAGCCTGTCTCCACCTTTCTCAACATCTTTCTGTAAACAGTTAAATATTTTATTCATTTTATTACAACGCTTACATTGGTGTCAATTTTACTTACATTGATTGTAGATTTAAATCGTGTGGACACAAATAGTACATGGCATGATTAGATGAACAGTGTATTAAAAGACATGTATTTCAATGGGAAGAGTTCCATTTTATTGGTGAAATTCTTTAGTAAGGCACCTGAGGATAAACAGAAAAATATGCTTGCAGTAAATTCTGCAGTGTATTGTTTGTGTCATCATTATTTAAATTCACCACTGGAAAACATTGTGAACTGTAGATCTGTCAATCTTCTAAGTATACTTTGTAGTTTTTTTTCCAATGTTCTAAGTAGATTTTGTATTCTTTAATTTAAATCTAATAAGTAGATTTTATTTGTCAACTTTCAGAGTGGATTTTATATTTCTTTCAATGCAACTTTTTTTTTTTTAACTTAAAAAACTACCTAAGTAATTTTTTATAGTTCTCTAAATGTTTTATATAATTTGTATTGTTCTATCAGTTTTCTAAACGGCCTATATAGTCCTATAAATCTTCTCTACATTGCCCACAGGGTCTGCCATGAATGTAGCCTACTCACCAAAAGAACTGCACACGTATCTGCGTGAGGCCACTCAAGTGTCCAGTGACTACCCTGTGGTCATCACCAGATTCTACACTGGATACCGTGAGGTGGAGATGGACGCAGTTGCTAATGAGGGCAAGGTTTGTTGCTTTTTCAGCAATACGTTGGCATACACATGTTTATGTTTTGATTTGATAAGAATAATTTTATTGCATATAGCTATCTCCTGTTGAGTTGAAGTTAAGAACCGGCATAACAGCAATTGTGGACACTCCATAAGAGTCCATCACCAGTTTCAGCAGCCAATTCAGAATTCCGGTTTGGCTGGTACCAGTAGCAGTCTGACTGTATGTCTTGTCTTGTCTTTCCCTGAGTGTTAATGTCAACAAGATCCCCTAGCACTTCCTATCACACCATTCTCTTTAGCCTGTGATAGTCACCCTGATCCCCTAGCACTTCCTATCACACCATTCTCTTTAGCCTGTGATAGTCACCCTGATCCCCTAGCATTTCCTATCACACCATTCTCTTTAGCCTGTGATAGTCACCCTGATCCCCTAGCACTTCCTATCACACCATTCTCTTTAGCCTGTGATAGTCACCCTGATCCCCTAGCACTTCCTATCACACCATTCTCTTTAGCCTGTGATGGTCACCCTCATCCCCTAGCACTTCCTATCACACCATTCTCTTTAGCCTGTGATAGTCATCCTGATCCCCTAGCACTTACTATCACACCATTCTCTTTAGCCTGTGATAGTCACCCTGATCCCCTAGCACTTACTATCACACCATTCTCTTTAGCCTGTGATAGTCACCCTGATCCCCTAGCACTTACTATCACACCATTCTCTTTAGCCTGTGATAGTCACCCTGATCCCCTAGCACTTACTATCACATCATTCTCTTTAGCCTGTGATAGTCACCCTGATCCCCTAGCACTTACTATCACACCATTCTCTTTAGCCTGTGATAATCACCCTGATCCCCTAGCACTTCCTATCTCACCATTCTCTTTAGCCTGTGACAGTCACCCTGATCTCCTAGCACTTACTATCACACCATTCTCTTTAGCCTGTGATAGTCACCCTGATCCCCTAGCACTTCCTATCACACCATTCTCTTTAGCCTGTGATAGTCACCCTGATCCCCTAGCATTTCCTATCACACCATTCTCTTTAGCCTGTGATAGTCACCCTGATCCCCTAGCACTTCCTATCACACCATTCTCTTTAGCCTGTGATAGTCACCCTGATCCCCTAGCACTTCCTATCACACCATTCTCTTTAGCCTGTGATGGTCACCCTCATCCCCTAGCACTTCCTATCACACCATTCTCTTTAGCCTGTGATAGTCATCCTGATCCCCTAGCACTTACTATCACACCATTCTCTTTAGCCTGTGATAGTCACCCTGATCCCCTAGCACTTACTATCACACCATTCTCTTTAGCCTGTGATAGTCACCCTGATCCCCTAGCACTTACTATCACACCATTCTCTTTAGCCTGTGATAGTCACCCTGATCCCCTAGCACTTACTATCACATCATTCTCTTTAGCCTGTGATAGTCACCCTGATCCCCTAGCACTTACTATCACACCATTCTCTTTAGCCTGTGATAATCACCCTGATCCCCTAGCACTTCCTATCTCACCATTCTCTTTAGCCTGTGACAGTCACCCTGATCTCCTAGCACTTACTATCACACCATTCTCTTTAGCCTGTGATAATCAGTTAGCTCCACACTGTTTACTCACTTCCAAAAGGCTTTGAAAACATCTAGCTTGTCATACGTCAGTTTACTACCACAGTCACTTTTTCATGATTCATCTGATTGAGGTAAATGTGTTGTGATTTTTTTTACAGCATACCTGCGATATTTGCACCTTTCGGCCAACATATTCAACTTTATCAGGCATTTGTTATCGGGTTAGGTTTAGGTGACATTTGTAGCCACTATATGTGTGGTGACTTCATCATCCCTTAATCTACAGGTGTTTCTCTAGAGGACCTGACCAGAGTGGCCACCAGGGCCGACCCTCAAAGATTTACCAGTTTGCTGTTTTTTTTTTTTTTTGTAATATACGTGGGTTTTTTTTAAGGAACAAAAATTGGGGGAGGGGGTTGTCACTTTAATGGGGTCAGTATTTTTTTGAACATTTATTTTGGTTTGTTTCTACAAATTTTTCAGTTGCAGTCGCATAGAAAATGTATATGTGTCTATTATTGTGAAAATATTACAAGAATATATATTTTGAAAAAAATGCAGTAATGATTCTTGTTTACCCCGAGCAGGTGATCTGTCATGCCATCTGTGAACATGTAGAGAATGCAGGTGTGCACAGTGGAGATGCTACCTTGATGATGCCTGCTCAGACTTTGCAAGAGGAGGCTATTCACATAGTATGTCACTTTTAGAGTTACCTTCCTTTGTTTTTCTGGCTCACCACTTTGACAGCTCAGTTTCCTAATAGGTTGAATGTTATGACTACAGTTGCTGTTTAAACATAGAGTTGTAAAATAGGACCCCAACTTTCCATTTGATGGAAGTGAGAAGGAAGAACATTTGCCAGCCATTTCATAAGCAATTTTATCATCTCTATTTAGTTCTTTTGCTTTTTTCTTTGCTTCCTCATCTTCTTCTTTTACCTCTTCATCTGTTTCTTAATTTTCTGCTTCCATCGTTAGTCTATACAAACATGTGGCTACAACCACGTAAGAGGCTGTGTTTCTTTGGACATTTGGTGAGAAGGAAGGCATGGGGAAAGTGGCAAGATCAGTGATAGAAAAATGAACAAACATTCAGACAAACTTTATTTTCAAAGAATTGGGCATGCGGACCTGTCTGACATTCTGTTGTTGGTAACTGTCTTAATCAGTGTTCTTCAACCTTTTTTTTTTGTTTTTGTTTACACCAGTGGACCAAAAAAATAAGAAAAATATTTTGTTAGGCAGCTAATCACTACACAGAAAACTGCAGCTGATGGGCAGTGCTGCTGACACCACCGGGTTGGGCTAACGATGCGCTTATGCCACAGTTCTCACAAGAAATAAATCATTTTTGACAGTTGTGAGGGAAGACAACTTAAATTTTAACTTTTAAGTATCTACATGTATTCTTTAATAATTTCACAATTTTTAGCCGACTTTTCTTAATTATTGCCGCTGCACCTCGGGCATATGCTCACGGCACCCCAGGGTGCATTGGCACCAAGTTTGAGAGCCGCTGGGTTAAGGAGTCGTTAGCCCGACCCGGTGACGTCAGCTGGAGCCGGTCGTGACAGAAAACATGTAGATGACATTTTAATTATTGATTTAAAAACAAATTTGTAGTTTTTAAATTTTTACAAAATTTTTATTTAGCTAATACAACATCTGCAGCTGCCTGGGTGTTAGAAAATCTGATTGGCTGGAGCATTGTTTCATTAAACCTCTGGCAAGGCTGGAGCATTGTTTCATTTAACCTCTGGCATGACTGGAGCATTGTTTCATGTAACCTCTGGCATAGCTAGAGCATTGTTTCATTTAACCTCTACATGAATGACCAGAAATTGTGAGCAGACATCGATATAATTTCTGCTGACCAATGGTTGAAGATGAACATGGATCTAAATCATGAAACAATTGGAGTTATCATTCTTGCATTTGTTTTGCAGGTAAAAGATGTGACAGCCAGAATAGCCAGCAGATTTGCAATCACTGGACCATTCAATATACAGTTCCTGGCCAGGGACTCGGATGTCAAGGTGAGAATTACTTTAACTGCTTAATAAGCATCACAAACACTGCTAGTCTGCATGTAAAACAAACATTACAAAGAACACAGGATTTTTTTAAAAATGTTTTTGTCTGATACTTTTTGTTGTTGACATTTTTGTGCTGTAATAAAGTTAATTAATAAAATGTTATAATACTGAGCTGCTTGAATGTCAGGAGGAGATAAAAGTGAAAAAAAAATGAGAAGACGATTGCAACTGAAACCAGCCATACAGTTCATTAAACAGCAACATATGAGGTATTTTAGCAATCTGATGATAACAAGAATTCCATGGTAACAGCTGACATATATATAATATATAAAGAAATTTAATAAACACATAGCAAGGAGAAGACTGTGTAAAAAGATTCTTAAACAAGTCTCAAAAGTAGCCCTGAAGGAATGAGATCAGTTTATACAACACATTGCAAATAGCACACAGTAGATTCTTACATCTTCCTTCATCACTTATAAAAAGGTAACTAAGGGAGGGGGGGGATTTTATAGGAGGATAAGCCAAGCAAAAGCTACATTTTAAAAGTTAACTTTTTTTTATTAAAAAATCATTTTTATTGGATGTCAAAAAGAAAGAATTGACATGTCAAACCTTTTAAGACGTGTTCATCCAAAGATTTAATTGCTTTAGGCCTGTTTTTAAATTGCTGCGATATCTGCAACTTTTTAGCCGACACATCTGACTTCAGCAGGCATTTGTTGACTGGATCAGCCTTCCTGGACCCAATAAAGAATCTTAAAATGTGAACTAAAAATTAAAAAAAATTAAAAATGAATACATGTGTGCGAAGAGTTTATGAACCCCTGTGTGCGTTCCAGGGCCCTATATTGTAAAAGGCAACTTGTTAAAGGTTCACTGAAATGGATGTGTTGGGGATGAAAGAGGCAGATATCAGTCTGGTGTAAACACCTACCAACCACCCTTTTATGTGTGAACACACTAGAAGAGAAAGATGAATGGAAGAAGGCAAGCAAATAAGAGAAATGTCTGGACAGTCGCTTGTATCGACAGTAATACACACAAAACAATGGCAGTATATTGGGCACATAATTACTAGAAGCAGAATTGGGCAGAGGATCATAAACAGGCACTGAAATTGGAAATAAGTGGGTGCTTCATTAATATCGTACCCCAAACAGGGTAAGTCAAAAGGTCATAGGACAGTCCAATATTTAAGGGGATGGTAGATATGCTGCATGCAGTCATGGGACGTAGACTGCACTCTTTCATTAAAAGCATCAGAAAGCTGGAAAACCCAGTCTTACCACCCTCTAAAATGTTGGACTGCGTTGAAACGTCATCTGGGTAGGATATCAATAAAGCACCAACAAGTGATTGGAGGAAATGAGGACATCCCACAGAACCCCTCAGATTGACACACATTGCTGAGAGAGGCCAGAAGTGCTGGCCTTTATTCCATCCAAATTTCAAGGATTGCTCATGACAGAACAGAATGGATGACTAGGCTGTCAGCCCTGTGTGGTGTATAATGATGATGTGTAATTTTAATGAATTGCATGAGAGAAAGAGTGTGGAAGCATAGACACCTTACATTTTAACTCTCTTGTTCAGAGAATGCCATTTTTCTGGCTTTTATGGGTTTTTGGCTGATATGTCCATGGACATTGTCCAGTATGCACGTATGATAGCTTTGGTACCAGCTGCAGCTGCATAGTGTGTGGTTATGTTGTATATGAATTTACTTGCCCTCCCAAAAAATGTTTTAATTTTTTAATTTGTTCAAACTGTGAATTCACCAGCCAGTCATATAATTTCATTATGTCTGTTTCTTTATTGTTGACTTTTACGAGGCTAAAAGAAACCAACTTTTAACTCGTGAAAGGGAAGAAAATCAGTTAATTCTTTGCTCAGTTTGTATTTAATCATTACTTCCCCTCACTTAGAAATAAACTTTTTCCAGATTTAGATATTTATCGACTGGTATATACTCATGGTGTATACTGGAAAATGTGTAAACTTTCTTCTAGTGGAGTGATATCTTAAAAAAAAAAGCATGCCTGCCTGACTTATCAGTGGTCTAAGACTTCGACCTCCTGGGTGTTTATAAAAACTTACCAAGACTAAATTTATTTTGCTACTTCTCTTATAATTTAGGATAGGTCTGAGAAATCTGCAGTTCTTGTAAAAAATTTCCAGTGGTTTGCTAGAATTTGAACCCTCTATGGGTCTGTGTGTGTTGGCACATTTGCTTGTGCTTGCATGCTTATGTTGTTCTCATCATTTCTCTAATCCTCTCAGGTTATTGAGTTGAATCTCAGAGCTTCCAGATCCTGCCCATTTGTTTCCAAAACAATTGGAACAGATTTCATTGCCCTAGCAACCAAAGTGATGATGAATGAAAAAGTTGAGAATGAACAGGATCTGCCAACTTTAGACAATCCTCATGATCCAACAAGTTATGTTGGAATTAAGGTATGTTTTTATCATCACCACCCTCATTGATTTACCAGTAGCTGATGCAGAATTAGAAAAATGTTTTTCACATGTAATAAGACAAACTGGCAACATGGAGAAAGGCCTGTATTTTCAGTAATCAAATAAATGTCACATGAAGGGAGGTAATACAGGTTGATATTACAAAATATGACAACCTCCAGACTTGAAAATGCCAGATTTTTTTGTCATGTAGGCTGTAAATATTTAACAGAAAATGTTTATCTGTATAGTGCTTTGAAAAAATAAAACAGCATTAAATGAATAGCAAATGAAACTAATGTTCACCAACTGAATAAAACTGTTCTGCATAATTTTAGTTGACCTGAGTAAAATAGTTCCTCAAATTTCTAATTTAAAATTTGAACCCCCCCCCCCCAAAAAAACTATATTTTTACAATCTTAATTTGGAAATGTGCTCTGTAATCCATGCTGAGAATCTGAAAAGGCTAGATTTTGTAGGGGCAATCTGTATAGTTGGTACCTTGAAACCATTGTAACATGAAGTGAAGGTTGCCATAAAGAGGTGAGAACAAAAATAACACAAGGGCCCTTAGGGGAATAAAATCCCTAAAGACATCCTGTATAGTGAATTATAGATGGGTAAAAGAGATCAAGATCTACTTCTACTATAATATAAAGAAATGTGCAAGCAGAACATGAATGATACAAGTATTAAGGTAGATTTATATTAACAGTATGCATAGAGCGTGTTGTAATTGTAAAATCAGGAAGGTAATAGGGATAAAGAAGAAAATGATTGCAGGTTGGTTCAGAGCCAAGCTGTGAGAAGAAGCGCATTCAATACACACAGTGGCAACAATGGTCCTGAAATCTCACATTCTAATTGTGGAAGACTTTTCTTAACAGGAATCACATTTCTCTGAATGGGGCTGAATGGGTATTTTACATTGCCCAAGGGTGTCTTGGCTAGAGGAAGGAAGGGAAATGTATTACTTCTAAACTATTCCCCAATATACACAGTACAGAAATGGTTATTTTAGCCACCAGCAGCTTAATTGCACACTTTATGGAGATGTCAGTATCCTCAAGTTGACTGCTGTTTTCTTCAGACATATTCAGGCTGATGTCTGAAAGTGCACGAAGATTAGAGAGGAATATGATGTTAACGGTTCTTATAAAAATTCTCAGCCCTTTGCTCAAACCTCTCTATGTTCTGATCTTGATGTGGACATAATAACCTTTTAGCCATACGGTTTCTAAACTTTGATAAGTTTCATGCTTGTTGTACAATTGTTGTTGTATCATTCTTCTTTTTCTTTTTTTTTTCCTTCTTTTTCTTCTGCTTCTTCTTCTCCTCCTCCTCCTCCTCCTTTTTCTTCTTCTTCTTCTTCTTCTTCTTCTTCTTCTTCATCTGCATTTACCCTGAAAGACATAGTTAGCACACTGGTTTGTTGTTTATAGTTAGGTTGCAATATCTGCACTTTTCATTTCAACTCCCAACAACCAGTTTCAGTAAATCCCTAATAAAGGCTTGTTTGTGACATGTGTTAGAATGCAGTCCATTCTTTTCCAACAAAATGGGGCAAAGGAAGCCATAAGCCTTAACATTGTTGTTTGCTGTAAAGTATAAATATTTTTGTTGTGTAACCATCTTGAACTTTTTTGACAAACAGGCACCCATGTTCTCATGGCCACGACTAAAAGATGCTGATCCTTTATTAAAGTGTGAGATGGCTTCAACAGGAGAGGTAAGTTTCAAAGTTGGTTTTCATAGTTTACAGCAAAAATGACTGGAATTTTGCCTTCAAAATTCACAAAAATCTGATTGAACTCCAAATTTCATTGTTTACATTAATGATGTTTATTATTCGCCTTACCATTCTCTAAAATGTTAAACTGTCTTGTGACGTCATCTAAGGTAGGATATTACAAAAGAACCAGAGTGTAACTTTTGTTTTTTGTTTTTTTTGTAAACCCCTGCAGGAAGAAAATCATTCAGTTCCTCTGCTCCCTCCTAGATGAACCATGTTATCTAGATAATCAAGATATGGATGCTGTCTCTGTTCTGTTGCATTATCTACTTGAGCCCAGACAGCCGTCAACATGTCCACTTTATCCACACAAAAAGGCAGCAACAGCTAATCTGTCAGCCTGCTGATTACCTAATGTCCTCTGGCATGACCTTTTCTTTGAGTTCAGTACTACAGAATAGGGTAGATCTTTTCTCTAGTAAATTAGAAGGCTGGGAATAAAGTCCAAAGCTAAAGGTAAACAAGGGGAAACTAGCTCATCTTCTTCTTCTTCTGCCTTTCTAACCTCAAGTAGAGCATACGCCTATAATCAATCAGCTCATGCCAAGTCATTCTATCCTTCGCTATCGCAAGCAGCTCTCCTCATGTCATCCCCATCTTTTTAACTTTGCTCTCTAGCTGCTGCCTTCTCTGTGTGTTTTTTGGTCTTACTTTAATTCTATGTCCCTGTGGGTTCCAGTGCAAATACATAGTTATATTGTTCTAAGTTTTTCTCAGCATGTGTCCTATCCAGCATCTTTTCTTTGCCTCTTGGTCCACTGGAACTTGTTTAGTTCTCCTAAAGTTCTGCATTAGTGATTCTGTCTTACCATTAAATTCCCTCTATTCTGTGCAGGCATCAGTTAATTAATGTTTGTAGTTTATTGTTATCTGTCACAAGAAATTCATTATGTCAGGATACTCAAAATATTAAATTCACCCTGTTCATGGAAATCCAGGAAGCAGGGAAATTAGTGATGCACACAAATCCATTATGCCGGCAAATCCAACAGACATTGAAATTACCAAAGATGAAGAATACTTCTAGCAGGTCATAATATGAAGATGTCCTGCTAGAGGGTTGCTGCATGATGATGAGATGATGATAATTTGATGCTGTTGAGATGATATGAATGAGATCACAGCAGTTGGTATTAATAGGACTCATAAAAAAAAAAAGGAAAATTTATGCAAACAAACACTGTAACCTAGCAGGCATCTGTTCAGAGGCAACTTGGATGGTTGACACGAGACTAGCTTTCTTGTTGGATGAAAATATTCTATGATTTGACATTAAATCTCTTTGCAGCAACTGCCGTGAAAAAACTTTGACCTTTTCTTTTCTCTATTAATTCTTGACCAATCCAGTTCAGTATTAGTTTGAAATTAGAAAAGAAGTAATAACTCTGATAAATATAAACAAATAATTTTGTATTCTGTTATACCTTTTTTTAAATTTTTCACTGGCCATATTGTGCATAAACATAATTTATTATTTAACAGGTTGCCTGCTTTGGCCGCACAAAATACACAGCTTTTCTAAAGGCTATGATGTCTGCTGGATTCCGTCTGCCACCAAAAGGAGGCAACATCCTGGTTGGAGCTCAGAAGAGTTACTATCCTTTCTTTCTTCCATTTGCCAAACAGCTTAGCCAAAAAGGCTTTCAGGTACAGTTTTTCATGTAATTGTCGTAGCTTTTCCTCTTCTCGTGAAAGTTTTTTCATTTTTTTTTCTATATCGGATTTAAGAGGAATTTGCAAAATCCAATTCACTTTGTAGAAATCAGATATGTGTACGAAATTACTAGTGATTTTGATTTTCTTTCAGCTGAATATAAATATGGCTTTTTAAAAAAAAAGTATTTTTATGGATGCTACAGTATTTAAGAGCTGTTGTTGAGACTGCCAGGTCATTTTATTTTGATATTTGTCTGTTTAAGCTAGCGTTTAAGTCAGAATTGGCAAACAATATGATAGTCTTTGCCCATGAATTACAAGGACCCATAAATGAAGCAGAGATTAAAAATCATTTGAACCTGCCATGTCTGTCATAATAGGTAAATAAGAAGCTTTCAAAGGGGACTGATTCATTCGTCCATTAGAAAATTTAGCTGAAAAATCCATAATTTTGTGAACAAGGCTTGAAGGATTTGCCATTTGTCTGTAGAGGGCGTATGCCACACTGGGAGCTTTAACAGCAGAAAATGTATAATTAGTCTTGAAAGATATGCTTGGCCTTTGTTCTGCTTGCCCTGTTGACAGTTGTTAGATCCACTTCAGCTAAGGGAATGTTTTGGTTATTTTGTCCTGTTCTAATACAGAAGTGGGTCACATGTTTTGCTGTATAAAAGTTATTGGGGACAACATACGCAGAGACTATGGAAATAATTAAAAATATGTAAATATCTTAATCCTATAGTAGTCATTTGTTTCACTTCTTCTTAAAGTCCTGAGTTGGTAAGACAGTTTCCCCTGTAACCAGATGGTTTTTTGAATTCATGTGTTGAGTCATGATTCAATTGCAAAGACTACTTCAAGGAACATTGGGGGGGGGGGGGGGGGGTGGGGTGTGTGTGTGTGTGTGTGTCAAAGAAGAAACTGGAATTACATCATCAAGAAATGGACAGGACTAAGTTATTATACACTTATTTATCAAGCGGAAGACAGAGAAAGATGGCGGGTTTTATGTGCTACTGCTTCCATCAGTACACCTTCACGACCCTAAAGGGTCCTGGTTTATGTTATGTTAAATACTAAATCTCTCAAATTTCTGCATAGTATCTCATTAATCTCATAACCCATGGTTGACCTTCACATAACAGGATTTCCTCTACCCAAAAAAATATAAAAAATTGTTTCTTTTTTCACTCATATTTTTCTTGTAAAATGCTGTTTCTGTGGCTTATGCGGGTGCACTTTGTAATTCCATTATGCTGGGTTTTATCCCAGCTGCAAGCAGCAGACCACTTTTTGTTGGTTTCTTCAGTGGTGCCAAGAGCCAACTGATTTGAATTAAGTGGCGAACTACTGAATATAAAATGGCTAGTGAAGTCACGAACAGCCACAAATGCTGAGACTGGTTCTGCTCCTGTGAAGCAGAGCTATTCAGCTAAGTTTATTCAGGAGCCAACTGTTTTAAAATGGGGACAATCATGAGCCAGAAGCCAAAGTTCCAGCATAGAAAGATCACTAATACAGTACAACTGGCAATGATTCGCTGGCCACTTGCTAAATCACCATTGGCCAGATTTGGCTTGCAGGCCATCAGTTGAATAGCCCTGCTCTAAAGGATACACAACTAGCTTCTTTTTTTTTTTTTAACATTGAATGCTTTTGATACATCTTCCATCTGCTGTTGTCTTCTTCTTCTTCACTTCCTCTTTTACCGCTGTGGGTGTCCAGGGAGATATAAGGTTCTGTTTCTAGCTCTTCTGGCTGCCTCGACCATAGGCACATCATGCTGTTTTGTAGAGTTTCTCTAATATTATCCTTCCATCTTGTTCTTGGTCTACCTCTTGCTTTACGTCCTTCTTCTCTTTCCATGTATGCTTTGTATGGTATGGCGTCACAAGGCATTCTCTCTAAGTGGGCAAACCATTTGCTGTTGTCAGGGTACCCAAATACTTGAATGAATTTACTTGTATAAGACCGGTTTCATTTATTTTGATGCTGCATTTTTGAAAGATGTTCAATTACTTATGAAATATTCCTTCAGATTTTCGCTACAGAGCGGACAGCAGAATATTTAATTCAACATTACATTCATGCCACCCCAGTCAGCTGGACAGCTCAGGATGAGGGACAGTTGCCTTCTCCAATCAAGTAAGTAACTTCCTTCATGTTTGAAACATAAATATTGAGGACAGACATAAAGAGTATTAATCTCTCGTCCCCTTCTTTGACATTGTGGGGCTCTCCGTGGTGGCGAGGTCAAAGCCTCATACTCTAAAACTCATAGGTTTCATTTTCTTAGCTGTGTAATTTGATTTATATGTAAAATGTTTGTAGAGATCCTAGGAGATCATTGCAGCAGCCACAGAGTTTGTGCTTTGTGTGATGTTCTCATTGGGCAACTAGCAGTTCTGCTGAGAGAGCGACCGAGCAGTATGGGGTAAAACACAGTTCAGTGATGTTGGTCTTCTCGACTTTAATTTTAACATTTACTTCATTAAGTTTAGGGAGCCGCCATAGTCTAGTGGCTAGACACTCGCCTGCTGATCGGAAGGTCGTGGGTTCAGTTCCTGATGGAGGTCGGACTTTTTTCAAAAATGATCTTGGCTTCCAGGTCGACCTAGCCTTGAGTGGGTACCAGGTGCAGTCCTGGGAAGCAAAGGTGACCGGCGTGATGCTGACCACATCACCCACCAAGTGCCGTTCCGTCTATAAAATATAGGTCTAGCCCTATATACCCAATACGCCCAAAAAGTAGTGTGGAAAAGGGTCCTTTACTTTTACTTTTTGATTAACTTTAACCTCAAAAGCACCATAAAGCACCGGCTTCCACTGCACTTTATCCTCAACTGCATGCACAAATGTTTTAACTACTGCATTTTACCATCATGTTAATGTAGTCTTCTCTTGCGTTCACTTTAAAGGGTGGTTGGCATATTGTTCTCTGGCTAGGCTGTGAAGACATCCAATTTCAGCAAAATCCTAATGTCACTTTTTCTTCTTCTTCTTCTTCCTTGTTCACCAGCTGTAAACTTCGGCAGAAAGTCCTGGTTGTTCCTGCATTCGGACTTTGGCTTCGTGCCAGGGCCTGATTTTTGCATGTAGATCCGTTTTATTGGCTTATTTGTGTGTAGTTGGTTGTTCCTTGCCGCTCAGGCTGATGCACTTCGTCTTCGAAGGAAGTCCCCAGTTAGTCGACTCCTAGGACATGCTTGTTGGGAAAGCAGTGGGTCTGTTCTTGTTGTCCCCACAATGGGGCCCCAGAACCCACATGGGGAACTCACCTTTACAATGTGCTTGTTGGGGCAGAGGGTCTATTCTTTTCATCCTCCAAAATGGGGCCCTGGAACCCACATTTGAGTTTTATGCAATTAACTGTGGTATTCTCTTCCTTCATCTTGTATGTTTCTTTAAATGTTATTAACCATAGATATTCTCTACCTTCACTTCTATATCAGAAACAGATTGGAAAACAAACACAGGTTATAATCCTGGGGAAAAAAAGAAAGATTTCATCTGAATGGAACAGACTAAGTCACAATTTTTTTTGCGTGCGTACTCAACAAACACTCATATAAATTAGGTATTAGCTGAACAGCTCTCTGCTAGTGTCTTCATGCTAATAAATCCCAGAACATGTCTTGCAAGACTGTCTTCACCTGAAGGACTGTCTTCATCTGACGGACTGTCTTCACCTGAAGGACTGTCTTCACACGAAGGACTGTCTTCACCTGAAGAAGCTGCGAAGCAAAACATGGCCACACCCCGTAGACCTAACAACGAAACTTTGAGGAAACTAAGAGATCTTGAGATAACATCCCAGTTTATGGTCCACAGTGGACTAAGCACATGACCAGAGATTGCTGAAGATGAAGATCTGCCATTTTCTCTGTATGCAGTCTTTTAGCCCTCATAATGCCAATAAAAAAAATATCCATAAGGCGTACTGGGCATATAGGGCTAGAACTATATTTTAGATGCCAGTAGTTTGTGGTGGTTTTAATAGATTATGAATTTTGTTGTTGCTTCTCACCCTCCGTTCTTCGCTGTTTGCATCTTTGATTTCTTCTTCTTCTTTGCGTTCACCAGCTGTAAACTCTGGCAGAAGGTTCTGGTTGCTCGTCCACTACTGAACTGCAGTCCTGCTCCAGAACCTGAGTGTTGCGTGTGCATCAGTTTTACAGATCTCATTCTCTTGAAAACAGACTGTTGGTTCCTTGCCTCTCTGGCAGATGCACTCCGACTTCAAAGGAAGCACCCCAATTAGTCGACTTTTACGACATGCTTTTGGGGAGGCAGTGGATCTATTTTTGTTTTCCCCACAATGGGGCCCCGGAACCCACACGGGGGATCTTTGATTTGTTTGGGGATGACAAGACATTAAATTGTTTTTGTTTCCACCATCAGGCTTATCCAAGAAAAGAAAATTGACTTAGTCATCAATTTGCCGAACCAGAAGACACAGTACATTCATGACAACTACTTGATCAGACGGGCGGCTGTTGATGCAGGCATACCACTAATCACCAACTTTGAGGTACTTGATGCATATAAGAATCTTTGTTATTATATATATATATATTTTTTTTTTGGTTGGCTTCACTGTCTAGTTCTCTAGTCCGGGGGTAAAGGAAAGGGGGAGGGGAGGTCTGCCTGTATTCCTTTGACCCAGTGGGTCCAGTACAAATACAGTCTAGTTATATTGTTCTGATATTTTCTGAACATGTGTCCCAGCCAACACCAACATCTTTTCCTCACATCTTAATTTACTGGAATTTGTTTAATTCATTCCCAAAGCTCCACATTAGTGATTCTCTAATACCATTTGCTTCCCTCTGTTTTTCTGAGGCACCAGTTAATGAATTGTTCTAGTGTATTAGTAAATATTTTAGTTCTCTGAGTTTCAGTTTCATACAGCAGTACTGATTTTACATTAATGCTAAATATCTTAAATTTGGTATAAGTTTTAGTTTCCTTTGACATAGTCCAATCTCTTGTGAGGGGAACCTACGAAATAGGTAGCATTTTAGGTGAAGATGGGAGAATTTGTGAATATATTAAAATATTCATACAAAAGGCAAGAGTAGTTTTCAAAGCACTGGGAAATATGTACAGGTCAAAGGAAATTAAAACTAGTACTTAAAATATTTAGTTCTAATGTTAAATTAGTACTGCTGTATGGTGCAAAAAAAATGGAAAACAACAGAAATAATTAATAGTTAACCATAAAAATAGATTAACTTGAGCCTTCACAGGATAGAGGGAATTAAACGGTATGACAGATCTTAGGAGGAGAACTAAACAAATCTCTGACAGTCAAAAGGTGATGAAAAATCACTAACCCTGGTTTGGATACCCACTAAATAAATCCTGACAGTCAAAAGGTGATGAAAAGTCACCAGCCCTTGCTAGGAGACCCACTTAGAAAACCTGATAATGCTGATCATTGAGGAGCATCATGACAGCATTCCAGGTAGACCCATAGATGCTCCAATCTCTTCTTCCAAAGCTCTACAGGTGTAACACAACTAATCATGCCCATTCTTGTTGTTGTTGACACCCCCAGTGAAGAAAAGTTCTCCACAGTTATAGCATTGGATTTCAGGACCGTTGTTGCCATCATTTGATTTAGCAGGTTTTTTCTCAGATGCTGTCATCCTTTCTGCTGTCATTTCTTCCTTTCATTTCTTATTTTCCTTCCCTTCCTGGGTGCCTCTTATTTGCAGCATGGTCTGTGACATTTTGTTCCCACGAATTTACCTCAGTACCTGTATCATTTGTGCCCCGCCTGCACACATATCTGTATCATAGTAAAGGTCAGACTCAACATCTTCTACCCATCTGCAAGTCATCAAGCAGGATGTCCTTAGGAAATCTACCACTGAGTATTCGTTGAGTATTGATTAACTAGCTACTTCAGTCAAATTTTTAAAATGCCCTCTACACAAATAAAACCAGCACAGTTAGATAGCTGTAAACAATCTCTTTCCAATGGTACCTCATTTAGGCTTGTATGTCATTTTGAGCTGAGATATGTAGGTTTTTGTGGAGATGAGATGTAAGAAACAGCCGCAAAAACTTGTGACCCAGAAACAAGAAGTTTTTCTCTGCGCAACCTACTGCGCAGTTCTGTATCGGCTTTGTTGACATTGAACTGTCATTGGATAAGATGGCAGGCAATGAGACTCAGCCTCTGGCTGAGCCAGCGATTGCCTGAAAAATGTCACTGTACATCTACCAAGCCACCGTTCAGAAAGAAATTTTATACACAAATGTAAAATTGGACGGAGAATTCAATTATAACTGGCATTACCAGGACGAGTAACAGTTAAAGCCTAAAGCCAACCTGAAAAACTTATCACTATTTTCAATCAAACTGATGTAACAGAAAAACAGAGGACGTCTGGCTGTCGTAGACATGCGCTGTTAATCGGGTTCCTTCCCGCTGTTTTCAGCCATTTAGAGTGGGTGAAAATCACACCAATCGCAAAATTTCATGAGAGATTAGGACCCATCCCGAAACCCCAGCCGACATTTCCAAAACAAGTTTCAAACGGTTTTCATGGTAACGGAAATTGTCGAAAAGATCGCAAATTTCCGAAACTGTAGTCGCTAGATTAACTAAATGTCTTGTGTCCTTTGTGAAATGCTCATCTCTGGCAGTACCAGGTTGGACCCCTATATCCACCACTATACAGGGATATGGGGGAATTCATTGTTATAATCATCTTTGCGATATGTATCTCATGTGATAGTGATGATATCGCCATGTCAAATGCCAGACTAATCATTATAACCATGGTTGCAACCAGATAATCTGCACGCTCATTGCCTTGAACACCAGCATAATCTGGCACACAGATAAAAGGTTAAATGAGTCATTTGCAGTGTGATTAATGAGACAATTCAGTTTTCTAAAAGATCTGAGCTCAAACAGTCAGTTTTTACAGTATCTACAATTAGCAATGTTAGTTTTACAAAACTCGGTGAAACATTTCTGGCATTGGATAAACACACTGTGAGAAAACCTGAGAGGATTATGACTAGAATGGCTTTACCCTGGAACCCACAGGGGCATATAAATCAAAGCAGAAAAATAAAAAAAGAGAACTAGAAAATTATATTTTTTTAAGTGGATAACCTGGGTTAGCTGCATGTGATAGCAAAAGACGTGACTTTTGGTTTGAGTTGGTTAGGAGTCTATGCTCAATTATAATATAAAATGCAGAAGAAGATTATGTGTGAGTGCATGCAAATAAAAAAAAAATTGTGACACACACACACACACCTATATATAAATAAATATATATATATAAAGCTCTGTTATCTAACATCTTGCACTCTTGTATTCCAGGTGGCAAAACTGTTTGTGGAAGCTCTTGATTACCAGAAAGACTTGCAAGCCTTGAGTTTGTTGGACTATCGTAAAACACCCAGAGAAAAGCGACCCAAGATTGAATCAGCAGTATAAAGTATGCAACTAGATTCTTCTCTGTACGTGATAAAAAATTAGTCAAGAATTGAGTCCACTCTTAGAAAGAAGTAGAGAGATAGAAGCACACACTAGACAACATAACAATTCCAAGCTGTACTGTTCCAGGAATCGAACCTGTCTCCTGCAGATGCAGATGGCACCTTGCTGCAGGAGCAAGTGTACTTCATTCCATGACTAACTTGAAATCCCTTCTCGTGATATGTTACACACCGTTAAAAATTAATGTGTCCATTTATAACATCATCTGATAAGTCAGTCATATCAAACCTGCACCTCCATTTATTTCTGATTAAAATGTGACTAGTAACTTATCCTCAACCAAACATTGCACCATACATATGTTACTGCCCCATATGTTACTGCCCCATTAATGTGTGTTTTAAACTGTGACAGGTAACTCAGCTTGTACCAGTGAATGAATGAGTGAATAAATGAAGAATGGACAGCACTGGACTCAGAGCATTCCCACACATGCTGTGTCCGACTTGATCAGTATTGTAACTTTTACTTCCTGCATCACAGTGTTTTTAATTTTTTTTTTTCCGCGTTACTTTCTTCTTATATTTTAGAACACATCTGATTTAATCCAACTCCCAGTTACTTACATTTTATGACATGCTTGTTAAGGGGCTTGTTTTGATCAATTTTTTTTTCTTGTTCCCACAATGGGGGATGGAACACAGTTGGGGCCCCTACTATTGAAACATTGGTGTGGAGGCTGTCAAGTATCCACAAAATCTAGTTTTAAAAATGTCCAAATGGAGACACTTATAATGTGTTTCAAAGAAATTGGAGTAAAGACTTTTCCTCCAAGCTAGTATGGAAAAAATTGGTGGAGAGACTTTCCATCCAGCCCAATATTGAGATACCTCAACGTGGGGACAGTGTTTCAAAACTCTCCTTTCCCTCTCCATGTTCAGAAACCAGCAAAGAGCTCAAGAGCAGTACAAAAATCATCTGCAGATAAATGGGGTTTGTGAAACATATCCAGACTGAAGATCCAGTCTGTAGTCAGGCTACGAATGTGCATTCAAGGTCTTAGCCAATGTGAAATCAGATCCTGGTTTTGTGATTTCAGATGCCCCTGTTGCGTAATAAGATAACCCTACCTCATAAAACTGGCTTTTGTTGAAATTTGATGCATGCGCCAAAAGGCGCAGAAATTGCATCTTAGTTGTAAACAACAGCACAGCTGTCCTTTTAAGAATGAGTGATGCAGAAAAAGAAAACTATCATTTAGAACAAATGAATTCCTTAACATGTCCTTTTCCTACTCAATTTTCCTTGAAATAGAATTGTGTGTTTTACTTTACTGGCATAAAGTAAACAGTTGACGTTACTGGCAAAACTATTTGAATTTTTTTTATCATTCTACATGATGATTGGCTTTTAAGAAACAGTTCATTGCCATTTGTATTGTATCAATTATCTCTTGCTTGTGACTTCTTCTGAGTACAACATTATCACTTATGTAAACAAAAAAAATTACTGCCATTTATAAATTGTTTTCTGTTGATAAAGTACATTTATAAATTGTTTTTGGAATATGGATTAAAATAACATTTTTTTATTTTTCAAGCATTTTTTTTTTAAAGTGAAATAACTAAAATATATATATATATTTCATTCTAGACACAGATATTTGGGCATTGTATATGTTGGTCAGTCAGGTGTTTAGATTTTATTTAGATTATCTATCACCCGGCCAAATATTTTGGCCATCCATTGTCTCCACCATCTGTTTCGATCATCTAAAGTCACCCACCCTGTATTCTAGGATGACTTTCTGAATTTAGATAATAAAGAACAGTCATTGTAATTGATTGTCATTCTAAACAATGAAATTATCAAAACGGTTGGTTTTTGCTAATAGTGAGCACAATTATTGATCATTTATTTCCTTGCATTTACGTTAATTTTTTTTCTTGCTTGAATCTGGTAATGGGTTTGTTGACCTCATAGAATCTGTAGAGGGGGTACTAAAAATTGATTAACAGTTAAAGAAAGCTGGCTGTGTATAAGACTCTGATAATGTGCGGGCACTTTATGTAACGATTTGAGATCATTCCATGTCATCCATGAATAATGTAAAACCTAATGTATTGGCATTGAAAACACACATACAGGAAGTACTGATCGTAGATTACAAGTAACTAATGGTTGGAGAAAGCAGAGGTTTTAGTATCTGATGCAGACCTGGTTCATTTCCCAGTGTTGACTGGAATTTCCCAAAGATTAAGGATGGTATACTTTCCTCCTGATCTTGAGGTGGTAAACTTAACACCTAGCTCTCTCAGATAAGGGCAGAAAGTTTGAAGGACTCATGTGTATGTTATGCAAGTTAAAGTTCCTCAGCAGCTGGAAATAAAGAGCTGGCCAAACTGGGAACAACCCTGGTAGAATTTCTATTCATAAGATACTCACAAAAAGTATTTATAGCATATGTGATTCTGGTATACACACATTTGAATCCTCACTGGTGCTACAGATTCTGTGCACTATGCTGAAATTCTTCTTGGTTGACCTGTAGGAGGACGAAGAAGTACTTATAGAGATTATCTATGTGTACTGAAAGTGATCTTTTACCTGCTAAACCATAGCCAAACCAGGTAATATTAACCAGTTTCTCCAATGATGACATGACATTGTAAAAGTGAGACTGTCTGCCCTGAATCAAGCATCTTGGTCTACAGAACAAACACTTGAGGGGACATCACCAGCATTGACACAACCAATGTGCTTATCAGCACAGTAAAAATGCATCTTTATTGAAATCTGATGAAACTAAGCACCTATGGAAGGGCTATTTATCAATGGCCTGCAGGCCTAATCTGGCCTGCAGAGGCCTAGCAAGTGGCCCACGGATCATTGCCATTTGTATTGTATCAATTATCTCTTGCTTGTGACTTCTCCTGAGTACAAAATTATCACTTATGTAAACTAAAAAAAAATTACTGCCATTTATAAATTGTTTCCTGTTGATAAACTACATGCATAAATTGTTTTTGGAATATGGATTAAAATAACATTTGTGGTGAATTATAGTATTTTGTTGTGAGCTGTGTCAAAAAACTCTTTCTGAATGCATCATTGGAATAGGAAAATTTGAAGATACTGTGGCAACAGGAGATAAGATTAGAAAACTGTAATATGTGATGGAAACAGAAAGTTGGAATGGAAAACTGGAAGGTATCACAGCAGCAAAAGTTTGGAAGAGAAATTATCATGGCAGTGGGAAGTTGGAAGGGAAAACTTGAAGATTCTGTGGCAACAGGAGGTTGGAAGGGATAACTGGAGATTCAAGGCAACAGTGGGTTTGAAGGGAAAACTGGAATATTTAAAGCAACAAGAGGTCAAAAGAGAAAACTCCAGAGATATCATGATAACGGGAGCTTGAAAGGGAAAACTGGAGGATTCAAGGCAAAAGAGGGTTGGAAGGAAAAAAAACTGGAAGATAGGGTAACTGAGGATTGGAAGAGAAAATTTGAAGATATCAGGGTAACTGAGGGTCGGAAGGGAAACTGGAAGATATGGTAACAAGAGGTTAGAAGGGAAAACTGGAAGAAGATATGGCAACCAGAGGTTGGAAGATATCATGGCAGTGGGAGGTTGAAAGAGAGAATGTAGGAGGGTGATGCTAGATTACCTGGCATGGTGTAAAAGCTTTTGTGAAACTAATTAAGAGGCAGTGGACATCCATGATTCCCAGATTCATGCATGGACAATAGAAAGATGGAAAAAAAAAATCTGTGGTGGTGGGTAAAGGTTGGTTGCAGGGTTTTTTATTTTCAGGGGGGAAAATGATGCATATATCCACCACGAAGTGTCTATTAAATAAGCTGTGGAAAAATGATGCCTAAATAGGTAATGATACTGTGTATATTTGAGTACCACCAGAAAAAAAAGTCATGGTTTTAGCTGATGTATTGTGGTTGTTGAGGAGTGGGTGAATAATATATTAGACTCTTCAGTCTATAGAGGTAGGTTTAGACCCAGCAGTGGAATATCTTTTAAGTGAAAGAACACACCTGCAGGGTTGATGATTTGTAGACAAATGAGAATACTGTTTTTATTCTTCACTTCCTCCGGTGACTTCATCAAAGTGTTTAGGAGGGGGGGGGTGGACCTATGCATGAGTCTCCAATGCAAGAATACAGAAATAAATTGTAATAAAGATGTCAAAAGAAATTAACTTGTAAAGAGAACCGACTGTTTCTAACTGACTGGGGAATCCCAGCCATGATGTAAGAGTCAGATGCTTGCCTCCAGGCTCAAAGGTCATGGGTTCAAATCCACTTCAAGGTGGATTTTTTCGAAAAGGGCCTTGGCTCTCCGGTTGACCCAGCCTTAAATGGATACAGATAAAGTCATCGGAAGAAAAGGTGGCTGGTGTTATGTATACCAATTACCAAGCAACTCACCATACATTTGTTGGTCTCTGTAGCAAAGTGGTCTAGCAGTTTGCCTCACGCTCTGAAGGTCATGGATTCGTTTCATGGCTTCATATTGTTCAGGCTTTGCTTGATGCCCTCGGCGGCTAGTCAAAGAGAAACTGAGCCATATGGAATAAAACCCAGCGCAATAAAGTCGATCCTGTCTACTTTAACCTTTAACTTGTAACTAACATGTTATAGTATACTTTGCTTAACTCCTTGTAATCTTTTTTTTTTTTTTTTTTTTTTTACGTATCCAGAAACCATGAGTTGTAAACCCTTTGGCTCGGTACTATTGATATCGCAACCCTTCGGCCTTGATTCCATTATAGGTACCGTTAATCTGGGAGAAATGTGGCTTTTCTGCCTACCCCCGGGAGTGAACCCGGACCACAAGGAGTTCGTCACCCGGCCGCCGCGAAAGTCCGGTTTAACCAACTTCGCTAGAGCTATTAACTGTGTTTGCTCCTGTGCAGATTTTTATGATGTTGAGATATACATTAACTTAAAAATAACATTTAAGGAGTTTTTTTTTCTTCAAAC